CAGATCCAGAGATCTTTGCATGTCCTGAGGGTTTTTAATAAATTTTCCTGTGTGGTCATGGAGATTCCCAATGGAAAAAGCTTTAATTCATGCAAAACCAGAAGGGACGGAACCATAGGCAGCGACATTTTTTTTCTTAGTGTTAAAACAGAGGATGAATGCTTTGAAGTATCAAAGCGACAGTCGATTTAATTTACACAACATCCATGGAAAATAGAGAGAGAAAAAGGGGTTGGAAGGGCCCCACAGTTTTTTTTTTTGTCAAGTTCAAATTTTCCTGGAGCTGAATATCAATGTACAACACAGACAATTTCACTAGTGAAAAGGGCTATCTTATGTTTCCCTAAGGATCGGCTTTCCCCGCGATTTCCTCGTCATCGGAGGCGACATATTCGTCTTCACTCAACTCTTCATCACTGGACTTGTCATCTGCCTTTGCTCCAATGTCTTCTGGCTTGGCATATTTCTCACAGTATTCTGGATAATCAACAAAAAAGGGTCATTACCATTGCAAAATGATTGGCATTCTTAACCCGACATCGAAAGGCCAACAACCAACGAATGTTTCTGCAGAGAGAACAATATTTACAATGCCGGTAAACAGCTTGGCCAATCGATATACCTGCTGTTGCATTATCTCTTAAGAAGAATCTTTCTGCTTTGTTCAATCAAGAACACCTCGAGGTTTACAGCAAACATATTATCTTCTTTAAAATCAAAACATGAAAGGAATCAAATATTTTCCGGTTTCAACTTACTTTAGGTCACATATGTACCGATCCATCTACCTCCAAGCTTGCAGAAGATGAAATGAAATCATTGTCACAAGGTTAACAAAAGTTTCAATTTGTGTGGAAATGTTTCAAAAGTAACTTGCAGGTAACTAAAACCACCGCATAGAAACAAAACCTGCTAACTCGAAAAGAAAAGTGACTGATCCACAGGTATCAGTCAAATGGGACGAACAGAAACGAAAATAGGATAAGAGGACACTGATAAGAAAATGTTGTAAAGAGCGAGCAGAATAATGAGATTTTGGTAGAGGCCTAGTAGTTTTAAAACATCAAGGACTAGTACCATTGTCAAAGTTTTCACTTAAATGGAATAAAACATGAAAATGATACAAAATTATGATGCCAAGGCATTCAGAAACTAACTAAGAGTAATGAAGAAGTTCAAGATTGGAGTTGCTGGCGGTGATTATTTGATTAAGACGAGTGAAAAAAATTTGAATATTCAGATATTAATACTACATGTATTCTACAGCGGTTGAGGAACATATAGATCAAATTTAATCAAAATGGATTTATAGTGGGGAAGGAATTGGGAAAGAAAAAGATAATCGGGGACCAGATCACACAAAAATCAAATTACTTGGCTAAAATTAAAGACAAAAACTGCATAGTTTTAATATTCAATTTTTCGATTATTCGAACTGGACTCGAACTCGAAATCTGAACCACTAATTCGAGTTGACTCAAATAACTCGAAATTAAAAAAAATCAATTTTTTCGAGTCGAATCAAATTTTTACTCACCCCTAGGTGTTTGCCAACTTTAGTCTAGCGATAAAGTTGTTGATCTATGTTGCTCCAACTCTTCATTTTGCTTAAATTACCCATGTCCAACACATGTTCAGACATGGTTGTGAGGATATGACTTACAAAAGAACCGCTAAAAATATAAACATACCGGGGTAAAGAACATACCCATAACCGACGCCTACTACCAACTCACTAACATGAGGCAAAAAGCTTAACCATATATGATGCTTACGACCGAGTCCAAGTAACATAGCTGTTGATAATAGCACGGCCATTACACATTAGTTAAACGAGCACGGCAAGTGGTTATGTGCTATAATTTCCATGCTCCCAGCATAGGAGATTTAAGACCTAATGTGAGTTCTTTCGAAAACCCGGGTAGGCAAGAAAAATTCTTGTAAGCTCCCTGCTGCCTGACTATTTACTTCATTGGCTTTAGAAAAGCAGGAAATACAGACCTTTAACTTTTGAATTAGGCATTCCTAAAGAGAAAAGAAATGCTTAAATAACACTTAAAAGGTTATCCAAAAATGCTAACCTTTAACTCTTTGGTCATAGGCAGCACGATCGCGCATCATAAGTGCAGCAGCTTCTCCATTCAATGGGTCCGATGGGTTGGGATACAGGAGAAGTTGAGGAAGGAACACTTCAAACACATTTACTAGATCTGAAATCGATTGCCAAGTTCAAGAGTAATATCAGCATCATTAAAGCAAGAGAGAATTCAGAAATCGAACATCGTGCCGAGCTCACCGAACATGGGGCTCCAAGTCTGGTTGATGACATCCAAGCAAACTGAACCAGACCTGAAACTCATAGTTCAAAGATATCTTAAATCATAATAGATCCTTAAAAAAAAGTTACCCATTCTAAAATTACCTCAAAAAAGTTAATACTACCACTAAGAGAGTAAAAACAGACAAATTTAGAACATTTTATCATCCAAAAACCTTACATTTCATCAACATTTGGGTGGTAGATCTTGTTTATAAAGCCAATTGATGGAGATTTATAAGGATAAGCATCTGGCAGCTCCACCCTAATCTTCCACACACCACCGTGGTAAGGACCTAGAAGCAAAATCCATCAACAAATCCCATCCTCTTTCAGAAAGTTCAAAGAACAAATAAGCTAAGAAACACAAATATATAGATAAATACTAAACTTCAAACTTCAAAATCATCAAAATAGAGAAACCAACAACAATAATCAGACGGTCAACATACTTCCAAGCGAAATAAAGAAGATAACTTCTGAGATAAATAAGACAGAATCAAAATTTGAGCAGAAAGTACAGAGATAGATCACGGAAATAAATGAAGAATTAGAGAACAAGAAGAAGAAGGCTTAAAGAAGACGATATTTTACTGTCTTTTGGTCCATTGAATTCAACATAAAATTCCTGCATGCCATCATTGATCATCTCGACCTTGTAGTCACTCATCATCCTAGTGAAAAATCAATCCAACAAAAAAAATTAAAAAAAAAAAACCAAAACAAAGATGATAGAACGAATTTCTTTTAGATGAAATTTGGGTCAAAAACAATAAATCATTTACAGTTTCATCAGGTCCATCTCTCGGCGTTTGCTTGGAGAAGACATCTTTGTTTTTTTTTTTCAGTGTGCGGGGGTGGTGTTTGGGGGGGGGGGGGGATACTTCAGAGAGGAAAAATAAGGTGAGAAACTAAAGATTTCACAAAGGTAAGGGAAAATTAGTGTCACAGTCTTAATATACAATATAATAAAATGTGCTATTGATTTTATTATATTTTTTAAATAAAATTAGTAGAAAATTATCAAAAATATTATTTTTTATCAGTTTTATTATTATTAGATGTTTTATCAGTTTTGTTAATATATTCGATAAAACATTATTTGTTTTATTATTATTGGATATTTTATAAGAAATATTAAAAAATATTAATATTTAAGTGTAAATAATAATATTTTAGATAAATTTTTTTATCGATTTTATTAAAATAATAATAATAATAAAATAAATAATATTTTTTTAACCGTATAAAACTTTCCGTGAAAGTAACCCCAGAGAAGTTCAAGCATCAAATGAATGAATCCAGGAACTTATATATATGTGCAGCCCCCGCAGTACTTTTACCCACCGGTAACTTCTTATTTTTCCTTTAACAATACGGTAAATTTTGTTTAAGTTTTTAGCCTCAACTATTTTTTCCCTTTTTATTAATATTTTTATTGAGATTTACTAAAATTATTAAAGTCAATAGTATTATTTTACATTATACTCGCATATATTTGATCTCTATTTATTTTTCATATATTTTTATCTTTCTTTTACTAATTTTGGAAGTGGTTATATTTTTCATTTATTTATGGTATATATGATCAAAATTATTAGATGATTTTTTTATAGAAACAGATAATCTTATTAAAATGGAAATATTCAAAGTTATAATAATACTTTATAATTATTATCGTAAACTAAATATATAATTTGAATATTTTCCTATAACATTAAAACTAGTCACTTTATATTATAGAATGACAATACATGAAAAAGGTTAAAAATCCAACCAAAATGCTCAAACGAAAAATAGATACGAACAAATCTGATTGCATCGATAAACAAACCGTAAAAAAATGATTAAGATATTGAAAGATCACCGAGAACCGTAAATCAGAGCCGAGCGCCTTGAAAAATTATCTACGAACGTAAAATCACGTATCCAAAATCAATCCGATGGTACAAAGCAGGGGAGTTCAACAATATTACAAATAAGTGTCATCTTGATCAGTCTTGATGTCATTAAATCCATAAGAAAACATAAAATTAAAAAAGAACTGCTAAATAATTTAGTGAAAAAATATGTCACAAAGATATAATTATTATTATAAAAAATAAAAAAAGAACAAACAGTCGATAACGAACATGAAAATTGATATCGATACTGATTAAACAAAATTAAAAGAAAAAATGATTTGATTTATAAAAAAAAGATACAAATTCTAAGAGAGAGAGAGAGAGACGATAGGGTAAAGTGCAGACTGCAGAGAGCCCTGATGCCATGCAAATATGAAAGTATTGGGGCATATTAGATGATTAATTTTGAGATTTATCATATAATAAAGCTTGCAGCTCTTGCTAAAGTCACTCATCACCTGACCTGCCTTCCATTGTCTTCATTTATTTGTTTGTTATAATTGTTAGGCAAAATTATAATTTGAAAGAGTTAAATGCACCCCATATCCTTAAATTATGCCCTCATTATAAAATGATATCTAAACATTTGGTTATTTCAAGTTCATCCTCAAGTTACGACACTTATTTTAAATTAATTCTTAAACTTTTAAATATTCCAATAACATCCCTAAAATATTCAAAAAATTAAGTATTTTTTTATTAATATTTACAATTACATCACTTTTTAATCTCTGAAAGGCATCTATAACTAAAACAAGTGCTTCCCTTGAGAGAGAGCTTCAGAAGCAGCCATGGCGGTTGTATTGAAACTGATGTAAGCTCAGACTGTTTGTAAATGTTCCTTTTGCCACTGTTTCATCTCCCACCTCAGGCAATGTCTTAAAAAAAATTAAATTTATCAAATATGCAAAATTCATATTCGGATAATATATTTTAACATCAATAATGTATTTGTACTCACTAATTATTTAAGTTGTGAAAAAAAAGGGTTCGACTGAAAAATAAATATCTAAATTGGATATATGCTTTTTGTTTTAAGTGTAATGTTTTTTAATTAATTATTTAACTTAAAAATAATATTAAAATAAGAGGTTAAATACATACTTTAATTAAAAAAATATTAAACATCTATTTTAAGATTCGAGTAAAGAAATTGAAATTATTTTTTTTATCGGATAATTAAGCCTAATCGGGTTAATTGACTAATTTATTATTTAATTCAGAAAAGTGAAGTAAAATAGTACCCATAATTCACAGTCGTGTTCATCTCTGGTTGAACATGCAGCTTTCGGAATCTCGGCAGTTTCATCGTTACGCGCGAACCGGCCACGTATACGGGGACGGTTGTCGGCTAGCGTTTTCCGGCATGCATACTTTACATCACCATTGCAAAAGAGAAAACAAACAAACAGACCAAATATTCAGAAGTTCAAGAACACAATCAAGCGAAAGGGGACAATAACTCAAAACAAAATGAGAAACCTTAATTGTTTTGTTGAAGTTCCTTCGATTACGCTTTGCTCTGTACTTTGAAATCCTCTCTTGTCTCTCTTCTGGGCTGTATCGTCCTACTTTGAACCCTGGTGATTCCCCCATGAACGAATTCTTCGTTGAAAAAAGAAAAGGCCAGAGCAAAACTGAGTAATAAAAACAAAAACCAAATAACAGGGGATTTAAGTAAATAAAGAACTGAAACGAACCTCAAGATCTCCATTGCTGAACATATTTTTCATCTTTCTGGCAAAAGAGTTGTTCTCCGGTAAGCTTAAAGCTTGTCCTTGAAAATTCTGGGATGATAAATTGGCTACATTTTCATCATTGTAAACAGAACATGAATCCAGTTTTGATCCTTGGGTTTTCACTTCCAAAGAGTTCAAACTGTCGAAATTCTGATACCCATCGTCTGAATTTCGTCGACTCGTCGGAGATTGAAACTGGGTTGTTTGATGAAAGTTGAGGTTTTCGAGCTGGTCTGGGTTTTGTGGTTGGTTTCCATTGTTGTTCAACAAAGCTTGAAGATTATAATAAGATGAAGAAGAAGAGTCATAAGGAAGATCAAACAGTGAGCTATAATCAATCGTTTCTATTTCAGGAATGATGAAGGAAGAATAATCAGAAACTGAAAGATTATAAGACATTATTAAAAGAACCCAACTTTTGAATCAAAATTAAAACACAAAACGCAGTGAAGAGAGAAGAAAAAACAGAGAAATTTAGTTGATTCTTGCGTTTGTTATTCTGCAGTGAAACGGACGGAAAGCACCACAAAGTGCCACTCTGAAGACCTGAGTTTGTTTATTACAAAGTGTTCATTACATGGAAGAACACGACAAAGAGCCTCGATTTTCAAACACTACACATGCAGGTTAAGGTATAGTGATTGAAGTGTGTTTAATTGATTGTTTGAGTCATTAAATTTAATAAATTGTTATAAAATGTCCTTTTATATATTCTTTTATTACTCACCGATCATGCACACATTATTTCATATATGTAATTGTTTGAATACGAGACCTATAAAGATAAAACACTTTCTTTTATAACTAACTAAGGCCTTTTAGTGAATTCCACTTTGATATTATAATAATTAATAAGTAGAAAAGTTTGATAAATTTAAGGGTAAAGTACACCAAAGATTACAAATTATATTTAAATGATTGTTTTGGTCACTAAATTTTCAAAGCTAAAATATGAATATTAAAATTATCAATTATTACATAATGGCCACTACAACCTTATAGTAAGATTAAGCCTTTTTTATATATATGAATTTACCTTATAGTAAGTGTAAGCTTTTATGTATGTATATATATATATAAATTTAGTGATTTGTATCAATTTGATAAAGTATAATGATTAATTTATAATAATTTGATAGATTTTGATGATTATTTTGCAATAGTTCGATAAAATTTGATGATTATTTTGCAATAGTTCGATAATTTCACTGATCATTCTATAACTTTTAAAAGTTCAATTACTAAAATGATCAATTGAGTATAATTTAGTGACCTCTAATATACTTTTCTCAAAATTTAATGATTATTTTGTCGTAGTTCAATATAATTAATAAATTTAATGATCATTTTATACATTTTAAACTTTGGTGATCAAAATAATTATTTGAGTATAGTTTAGTGATATATGATGTACTTTCTTCAAATTTAATAATTATTTTATAGCGTTTCAATACAATTTAATGATATTTTATAATAATTTAATAAATTTAATAATTTTTAAAATTTGATGATCAAAATAATAATTCAACTTTTTAAATTAATTTAATAATCATTCTCTCTTATGATTTAAAAAAAATCTCGCATGAACTCTTGTGACCTTAGTAGTAAAGGAATTGTTGTTATTTTTTGAGATTCCGAGTTCAATAACAAAAAAATGTGAACATTCAATGTCACATATTGTTGAGAGTGATATTTGAACAGATACTACTTTATACTTACCTCATATTAATAAAAAAAATTCTCGTTAAATATTAAAGTTATTATAACTTTTTAATTAGATTTCATTTAAAAAACAATAAGTTAAAAGTAATTTCTCAAACGCTTTCACCAAATTTAGTCGCTTACTATTAGGGTTATAAATGAGATGAGATATACTGCGAGCTATTTCATATTGACTTGACCAAAGTTTGGTAAACTTTCAAATCAAATAGACTCGAACTCGACTCAAATTTTTAATAAGTCGAAATGAACTACTTAATACCCGATTTGAAAATCTTGCGAACAACTCGAAAAAAATAATATATTAAAATTTTAATTTTTCTTAAATTAAATTATTATTAATATTAACATTTATATGTTATTCTTTTTTAAAAAAAATACAATGTAAGATTTTCATGTACATAAGATTTAAGTTCGAGCTACAATTTAAGCATTAATCGATATAAGTTTGAGAATATTTTTAAGTTCAAGTTTTTTAGAGTTCAAGTTGTATTCCAATTTTTTATTTATAGTTGAGATTTAAAATTTTAAACTTGCAAACTTTTGCGGGGAGTCAAACTTTATTTTTTTATTTTGAGTTTGAGTCGAACTTTATAATTTTAAACTCGTAAAAATTTTAATCAAGTCGAATTAAATTTTATACTTTTCAAGTCGAGTAAAACTCATCATTATTCAAACTCCACTCAACTAATTTATAACCCTATTTACTATCAACTTTTAAATAATGTATTTACAGTTTGTTTATTTTTTATCATAAATAGTATATAAGGTTTAGTGTCAAATCTACCGTTACCCCACTCTTGAGAGTGACATATAAAAAACATTTATTTATTTTCAAAGACCAAAATATTGTCAAGTCAAATTCCTAACAAACTTTCTTTATTCTCAATCCTCTCTAAAATAAAAATATATATTTTATAATAATAATAATAAACTTTTCATGAAATAATCAAACAAATAAATAAAATACATTAAAATATAATATAAGTTCGTATATTATTTACATATTTGGAATTTGATTTTCTTCTATTTAAAGAAATCTTATATTTCTTTATTTTATATTTTAAAAATTAAATTTAAGTGTTAAGATTGCTAAGTTATTTTATTAAATGTACTAGAGAATATTAATTTGATAGTAATGTAACTATAAAAATATATTTATAATAAGCATGGATTTACTGATAAGATTTTTTTATTAACGATTGAGTTCAATTTTTTTTAATTTTAAAAGTGAAAGATTATATTCTTATTAAAAGTAAAATATTTAAATTTCATGTATATAATATATATGTACACAAAAATAATTATATAAAAAAACAATTTTGCTTTATTGTTTTTCTTTAAAGCTGGTAGCTAGAAAGCATGAATATGAGAATCATCGCCATAGAATTCATGGATCGAAGCAGCCCAAAACCTCTCATTAAACGTCTCTTGCATGTCATCGGGAACGAAATTCGTCCGGCAAAGAGGACATGTTTTCTGATCATATCCCATCCAACGGTCCAAACAGCTCCGATGGAATACGTGTCGGCAATTTACCAGCCTTCGAATCTCATCCTCCCCTTCGAAGTCGTAAAAACACACGGCGCAGCTACCCGGTGGGTCGACGAGGTCGGAGAACTTTACTACGGGCAGAAGTTCTCGAAACAGTAGAGCCCAGAGCGGGGTATCGCGGTGGCCCGTGGCGGAAACATCGGCATCCGCCGCGTCGGGCGGGGGAATGTCGAGTTCGAGGAAATCGGGGAGTCCCAGATAAAGAAAAAGAGTGAAAATGAGTCTGCGTAGGTAAACGAGAAGAATAAGCGTACGTAAAAGCAGCGTGGGGAGGAAGAGCTCGGAGTATGCTACCGGAAATCCCATTTTAATACAGTGAAAGAGAGAGAGAGACGAAAAACTGGGAAGGGACGTGGGTGCATATATAGAAAGAGTTGTAAAGTTAAATTACTATACTGGACATGCTGTCTTGTCAGTGTAATGTAACCTTCACTCTAAGTTGTTAATTGCTATAATAAATAAAACTCTTTTAAAAATAGTAAATTAAAATTTATTTTTTAATGGATATATTAAAAGAAATTGACGAGTTTTAATCTGATCCATCTTTCATACTATTGGTTTTTATAGATACTGTCAGTCAATGATTATTTATTATTACATAAATTATTAACTGCAATTTGAAAATATTACCATAAGTAGTTTCTTAACGGCTTCCTCGCCTATATAAAGTTGTGAGAAAATTATTTTCTCATATAAGGCATATTATTTTTTAAATTAGGGTTTTTTATTGGTTTGAATACGTCGTACACTCTTAGGGTTTTCTCAATTTATCTGAAGAAGTCATGTAATCGTAGAATCTTCATATTTAGTTTGAAGACGCTTGTAACACCCGACGTCTTTAGGTTGGTACTGTTCAATTCACCCTAGATGGAGAAATAATCCCCATGATGAATTATATTGGGAATTAAAAATTCTCACTTACATTATCTCATCCATTTTGCCGTTTCTTAACCATTAGAAAGTGTCTCTCTTCATTGAATAAAAAATGTCTCACTTCATTGTATTTCCTTTATAATATTAGTTAGATCGAATCAAATTAACAATTTTTAGTCATCGAGTTAATGATTTTTATTTTATGAATTTGAATTTATTTTAAATTTTTTAAAGTCGAATTGAGTTTATAAAATGCGAGTTGAGTTAGATTATTTAATTTTTTTAATTTAATTATTTTTTAAAAATATAATGGTGCAAATTAATTTCAATTTAAACAACTTTATCTAATCATATAAGATATACATATATATTTCTTCCTATTTCTTTATACATGCATAAGTAGGGATGGCAACGGGCCGAGTTCGGGCTTGGTATTGGTCCCCCGTCCCCGATTAAAAAACCCATACTCGTCCCCGCTTAAAAAATCACGGGGATTTAAACGGGGATCCACATCGGGTAATCTGGAAAAACCGCGGGGAAATGGGTATCCCCGTTTAGCATAAACGGTTATTTAAACGGGTATCGGGCCGGGTATCGGGCCGTATATATATATATATATATATATATATATTTAAATTAAATATATAAATTATATATATATATATATATAATTAAAATTAAAATTATTAAAATTATATATATATATATATAATAATTATTATTTTTAATATTTATCGGGGCAGATAATCGGGGCGGGGATTACCAAACCCGTCCCCGTCCCCATCCCCATTTAGCATAAACGGTTTTTCCTCGTCCTCGTCCCCGTTTAACATAGACGATTTTTCCCCATCCCCGTTTAATTCAATTTTCGGTTTTTCCCATCGGGTTCGGGTTTTTTTTGCCATCCCTATGCATAAGTAAATTTTGTAATGTTATTTAATAAAACAGTGTCATCTAAAATTTTAAAATGTATTTATAATTTCTGTTTTTAATAAAGTATTTTGAGAATAAATTATTAATGAGAGTACTAAATCGAAAAAAATAAATTTATTGTTAATAATAGAAATTGAAGTTATAAAAAGATTTTATAGTGTAAGTGAAACAAGTGGTTTAAATTTGGTTAAAATAAATTTAAAATGTATGAATAATTTAAAAAAATAAAATATTCAGAATTAAAATGATCAAAATAAACTTTTAAAATGGAAAAATTAAAAAATAAATTATAAAATAATTAAATTTGATTGTTCGGATTTTGGATTGGGTAAAAGTGGCGTTATTGGGGAAGCTCACAAAAGAAGCTTCAAGGCAATTAAGAAGCCAACAAATCAATGGCATATAAATAAAAGAAAAGGAGAGGGGAGTTGGAATAGTGTAGTAGTCAAGGCTAGCGGGGTTGAAATTTGGTGTATTCGACACATCATAGTGTGTCATTGTCTCCCCTATCTTAAAATGGGGGCGCCACCACCAACAAATCATATGGCAAAATGGCCTTTATCGAGCCATTTGAGACACCGACTACTATTTCAATCACCACGGCCCGGCTATGGCTCTCCGGCGACGCTGCCAACCGCCTCTACCAAATGCCCTTATGGCCAAGACAAAGCTGTTGGCCCATCGAATAGCTCACCCGGGTGGGGGCCACCCAACAGAGCGGAGGTCCATCTCAAACCACCTACCTTTGTCTGTGTCTGTGCCATGGAATCCCGAAAACATTGACTCTACTAAAAAAAGATGTTATTAATTTTATTATTATTTTTTAACAAAATCGGTAAAATATTATTATTTTTATCGATTTTGTTATTATTAGGTGTTTTATTAATTTTGTTAACATATTTGGTAAAGCGTTACCTAAAATATTATTTTTTTCTACTGGTTTTGTTATTATTTGGCACTTTACCGGAAATGTTAAAAAATATTAATATTTTACGTAGAAATAATAATATTTTAGGTAAAAAAAAATTAACATTAATGTTAAAGATGCGATGTAAGAAAAGAAAATGACAATAAAGATATCGACGGTAGACAACCAACATTAAAATTGATGACTTCGATGATAAAAAAATCAAACTCTAACCAATAAATATTAAATACAATAATAATGTATATTACGGTATAAAAAAAAATTCAAACCTCATAGTACATATTATTGGAAAAAAAACCGACATCAATCGCTAAACATGATCTAAAAAATCAACGCAGAAGATAAACAATAATATTAAATTACAAAGATTCATAGCTTTCTTTTTCTTTAATCCGGAATCCTTGAATATAGTTAAACTTTTGCTGATTTGTCATAGAGATCCAGCTAATACTTTCCTCGCGTGCTTCTAGTAGCTTACTAGTCCTACATGATTTTAGAGTGTAAAAAATGAATTTGTCAATAACAAAGAAAGAATTTTATTGTAATGTTTACGAGTTTGATTCGGTTTGATTTTGTATATAATTAAAATTTATATTAATATTAAATCAATAATTTTTGTCTTTTATATATTTTTAATATTATAAATGTAACATGAGTTGTAGTTTAAAGCAAATCCTCAAATTAAGGAATGAAACATCCATCATTTTATCTACTGATGTTTCGAATGTTGACAAAATCTGGAATGAGATTAGAGTTAAAAATCCCAAAGTGCAATGGCACTCTTTGCTTTGGTTCCCTCTCCTTATACCTAAGCATAGTCTTATAGTATGGGTGGTTTTTCTTTACATACTTCCTACGAAAGAAAGATTTCATAAAATGGGGCTTGTTAATGATTGTCACTGCATATTTTGTGCTACTACCATGGAAACGAGAGATCACTTATTCTTCGAATGCCCAATTGCCTCGTCACTATGGTCTACCCTTTTTGCTCTCAATGGCTTACGGTTTAATCATCATTCTTGGGATACTCTCTTCGGTTGGGCTACTATGTTATGGAAGGGAAAATCTCTTTTGTCTACCATCATGAAAGTTTCTTCTAATACACTCATTTACACCATATGGAAGGAAATAAACAAGAGACTTTTCCAAAGTCACTCATCTACTGTTGAAGAAATGTTTAAAGCTATCAAGGAAATTGTAGGGCTTCAACTAAGGGGAAAAATTATAAGTAGAATTGACAGTGTTAATATTTTTCTTTGTAACCAATGGGGTATTGTCTGATGGGTTGTTTGCCGTTTGTCTTTGGATGATCTTTGTATTTTTTACTCTATTGTTTTGATGCAGTTTACTGCTCTTGGGTAATAAAAAAAAATTATTATCCAAAAAAAAATATTATAAATGTATCCGAAAGAAATAAGAAATAATGATATGAAAACCCAACATGTTCCTGAAAGGGACAATGGAGTAGGGCTTGATTTTGAATCGTTTCTGCAAAATGTTTTCACTGTGTTCCCACGTTTTCTTCGTGTACAAAAGATTGGGTGACGATGGATCTACAGAACAAGTGTCTTTTTATCACCATTAATACTACTTGCCGAAATAGAATTAGAGTTCAATGGACACAAGGGCACTTTCTTGTTGGAAGAACTGTCCCTATCTGCAACATTGTAGGACTGGACCCTTCGTTGTGGAAGAATGGAGAACACCTTTTTAACATGATGTAGAAATTTTTCTGTTGTGTTAGTTGCTTTCCTACCCTTTTTGATGTCGAAAATGGGATGCATATATATGCTATCAAGGAGTTTATTTAATGATAATTCCTCTACAAGCTCAGTGACATCATTTACATCATCAGATTTGAGTTCATATAATCAACAAATTGATGCCCAAAGGTGAATGATGCAAAATAGCAGAAACATAGAGCTAGTATATAATTTTAAACTAAATGCGTAGATAATATCACACAACCCTAAACCCATCATAATAAGATTCCAACCAGATAATGATCCCTCTTTAATAAAAAATAGTTAAATCAATAGCTTTTAATTTCAAAAATCGACAATTAATCAAAATGTTAATGTTTTCATCAATTATTTAACTTTTATCATTTATAATTATGTCAATTAATATATTTAGTCTTTAATGTTTATAGGATGTGTAAATTACATATATGTTTTTAGAATTAAAATCAAATTGATTAATCTATAATCATTGAGGGTTAAATTTATTGTTATGTCAGTCTAAATCATACAAAAACAAGACACTAAAATCGTGATTACTTTATGTTCAATATACTAAATATTGAACTACTCAAGCTATAGGGACTGATAACATAATTTGACCGAAAATGTAAAGATTTTTATTACAAGAAAAAAATTGATCTTATGGGTCCGCAAAGATGACCAATAACGAGCCCTTTTATTTCTTCATTTCTATAAAATATTATTCAACCTCTCGTCCTCTTCTTTTAAAAGCCCTTTTTTTTTTCTCTATTTACTTTGTTTCAGCGTCTACCAAACAAAAACATTAGCCCAGGACAGGAGGATCTCTAAGCTTCCTTTTCTCTCAAATTTCTCCAATTATCTCTGTAATTTTCTATCTTTTTTTCTCTGTTAATTTATATTTTTATTTGCTTTTGGTGTTAGCTTGGTTGAGGAAGGCGATCTAACTTTGATTTGATTTTCCTTGTTTTGTTTTAGGGTTTAGGTGATGGCTTCAAAGAGGATCTTGAAGGAGCTCAAGGATCTACAGAAAGATCCCCCTACCTCTTGCAGCGCAGGTTCAATTTCTTCTTATCTCTCTCTCTCTCTATTTATTCTCGATTTCATTATTTCTTGTTATCATGCCTTTGGTTTCCGCTTTACTTTTTATTCATGACATGAGATAATTGTTTCTTTATGTGATGGATCCATACTTATTATTAGGATATGATTTTGACCATGAGGATTTCATTGAGTCAAACTGCAATATACATATACATATTCTAAAGTTTTAGGTTCACATCATTGGATTCTATTTGACTCTAGATTATTAAAGATTTTTTCTCTTTTTTTCCTGTCTTATTAATTTCTGTTCATATCCATGGCTGTTATGTTATTATTGGTGAATTTGTGAGGAATTGATCATGTTTTGCTGAAGGTTCATTTAAGAGTTTATTTTTGCATAATCATTTCAATTAAATATTACTTGCAGATTTGATTGCTCTATCTAACTAATGTTTTACTTCATTTTATTATTGAAATAAGGTCCTGTTGCTGAAGACATGTTTCATTGGCAAGCGACTATTATGGGTCCTCCTGACAGTCCATATGCCGGTGGAGTGTTTCTAGTCACCATTCATTTTCCTCCGGACTATCCTTTTAAACCACCAAAGGCACTTAATCTTGTTCCTTAACCTATTAGTTTTTGTTATTTCCTGGTTCACCGTGTGTTGTGAATGTGTACTTTTCTTGACTATGTATCTATCTGTAGCTGTCTTTTTCTTTTTTAGAAACACCAAATATGAATAACTATATTGGGAAAAAATGCATAGCACTTCATATACTGCATGTTGATTTTTTTCAACAAGCTGTTTTTTAACCATTTGTTCAAGTGCTGCTGGCACAAATGTTTTCTCCTCTGGAATCCAAAACTTCCGTGGTTTTAATGCGGTCAATGTTCCTACTTGTACTCATATACATTTCATTTGGAGGGATATGTATTTAGCATAAATGTTTAAAGCCTTCATGTTATTTAGCCAGTTCCTTACTGTGAGTACTCTGTGACCATGATGTCTTTACAGGGTCACTGGATTGTGCAAACATTGCTTGGCACTGAAATGAGTAAATGCTAATTCTACTTGATAGTTTATTCTGTAAACGCTAATTTTTTTCTTTCTTTCTAGCTTTTGGTAATTTATTTTGTTGGCATGTATGCATGCACAGTGGTGCATGCATATGCATGCTGGATGTCTAATGGTTTAGTTTATATGTGAAAGGCTATTATTAGGTTGTTTTCAGTGCCAAAATTTACATGATCCATTGTTATTTTTACTTTTGTAAACAGCCTCAGGTAAGCCTTCTCTGTTGCCTGCATATAGGTACTTCATTATGTGGTTCCTCACGTTTACTTTGTACGTTTTGGTTTGACAAAAATTATTGTAAATGGACACCATGCGAATATATTAACTTTTCATGTATTGACGATGATGTTAATATCTTTTAAGATAGAATAACATCGGATTTACTTTTAGAGAGAAATATAATTGTAACCAATCGACAATGGCTTATCAATCCTCATCTAGTTCTGTTAATTCTAGTAATTACATGATAAATCACATGGTGAAGTTGTTTCACGCTTAATTTTCTCCACTGCAATGGCCTTCTAACTTACCCGTTTAGTAGCTGATTCATTACTAGCAAGTTTCTTGTTTAGTTTTGTTCTGTTATCCATTTTTTTCTTAAATTCTTTTCCTTTGATTCAGGTTGCTTTCAGGACAAAGGTCTTTCACCCTAATATTAACAGCAATGGTAGCATTTGCCTCGATATTTTGAAGGAGCAATGGAGCCCTGCCCTCACCATATCCAAGGTTATTGTTTAACACGCCTTGCAGTATATACATGTTTTATTTTGAATGATAGATTTCACTGTTATGTCATCTATTAACAGTTTGTCATAAAACCCTTAAAAAGTTGAATTGGTTTTTAAAACGAAAGATTATGGTAAGCCTTTAAAATTTAGCATTTCATCAACTGGCCAAGTAGTTTGCTTCCCATAACGGGTCATTGCAATTTTGTGTATGGTCACCCTGGTTTAATATATATATATATATTCTATCATGTAAATTTTGATTGCCATGGTTTTCTGGTATTTAAGTGTGGGGCTGTTTCTTATATGTATTTTGATTCTAGGTATTGCTGTCAATCTGCTCACTCTTGACGGATCCAAATCCTGATGATCCCTTGGTGCCAGAGATCGCCCACATGTACAAGACCGACAGGAGCAAGTACGAGACAACTGCTCGGAGCTGGACCCAGAAGTATGCTATGGGTTAGTGTGCTAATATGTATGTAATGGGAGGGCCTTTATTCCATGTAGCATTGGTCTTTAAATTAATATGTATGAATCAATGAATCAGTATGTGTGATCTGACCCTCCACCTTATGTACCAAACCGAGCCCTCCTTAAAACACATTTGCTGCTTTATTTGTTTGTACGGAAATTATCTTTCAAACTTTAAAGCCCCCACTCTTCTATATGCTCCATGTTTCCCCCCTTATTATTCCCCTTCCGGAAATAGCTGATCAGCTTCAGCTGCTATAACTCTAGCTTCAACTCCACAGCTGACTGCAACCTGTAAGGTATTGTTCGGTTAAGTCTGTAAAGTTATATGAATTTTGATTCAATGAGTTATTTTTACACATGGGAATTTGATATTATTGCAATTATATATTAAATTTAAAATTTTAATTTGATTGTACATATTTATAAATAAATTAACCTATCTTTTTCATATGTGGTAAATATAGATAATAAGTAAACATAAAATGACGTGGAAATAAGGAGATTAGTGGTGGTGAACACTGGACTACTCGCCTAAAATTAGAGTTCAAGTATGTTACATGACGCTTTATAGTTTTAAGATTTTATCCCTCGTAATGGTAATGAATTATGGTTAGCATAGAGTCATTAAAGCTGGCATTTGGTTTATCGATAAGAAGGGTGTAAATCTTGTTGATATACAAGAAGGAGATGCTGATTGTGAAATTCGGTTGCAGTCTATCTCTTTTTATTTGAATGGTGAATCGTTGATCAAAGATTATGATCCACGGAGTCATGAGAGAGTGGAGGAAAAAGAGAAAGGAAATGAACGTAAAGCGAGAGAAAAACAAATGATTTAAGATTATCATTGAATCTAATAATATGGACATATCTTCTATCTTAACTTTCTGTTATATGGTGGGATGGTTGTTGGTTGCTATTTCATTAGTCAAGTGGCGATAGGACTTTTTAGAAGGAGACTTTTTTAAGATGAAATGATACGACATAATTTTAAAATTTACTTTCTATTAATTTTAAAAATATTAATTAAATTCAAAAACTTATCTAATTATAGAATAAAAATAAAAATACATTCTTAATCATTCTCAACAATCAAATTAAGTTGTCTAAGAAAATCAAGTAATTTAATCCTTTCATTTTATCTGTAAAACAAGGTTAGAAATAATACCTCCTCTCTGTTCATAATGGATGCTCCATAATAAGATTATATCAAGATTTGTTTTGTTTTTATTTTTATTTTTTAAATTATTTATGTAGAATTTTATTTTTAGATGAACTTTTTAGAGTTAAAATCTAATCGATAGAATACGTAAATATTAAAGATTAAATTTATTGAATATTTTAAAATTAATATATAATTTATAAAATTGTGTGAAAATCCAAGACCAAATTTATAATTATACAAATTAAAATTATATAAATTGAAAAAATAACTTATAATTAATTATCTATCGAACTAGATTATTTTTAATATGGGCCGGTTTGAATTATGCAAAACCCAATCTTGATAGGCCGGGTTACTTAGAGAGGTGAGGTGCAGGTTGTTTTTCGCGTACAGCAGAACTATAAATAAAAACAAGAAAGAAGAAAAGAAGAGGGAAAATATCGAGCACTGAGAAAGGAATACAGCCCTTCTTCGACATTGCCTCCAGGTAACCAGCCTTTTATTTTCCTTCTTTCTCAATTTTTTATATGTTTAGTCTTTACTTCGTCTTCCCAATCATCCAATTTGACTCTCCTTCGAGTGGGTTCGTCGTGACCTAGGTTTTGGGATTACGGCTTTCCTCTTTTGTTCTCGCCCCCCGGAAGCTTTACCGAATGACATGTTTTAAGTGCTGAAATTATAAATATATATGGCACTTACAAAATTTCCCTTTGTTTCGCGATTTAAATTAGTTTTAATTTGCGCATTTTCTCTGTTTTTTTTATATACGAACCTTTAATTTTCTTAGAAATGAATGGCCGGAAAAGAAAAGAAAAGAAAGCAAGTGCCTGCAAAATTATTTATTATATGCTTTGATCAAGTTCGAGATTGAGTCGAAATTTGTGGTTTGAAACTTGAGCTTGAGCTTGATAGGGTTTTGTTTTCGGGGTTTGAGCTCGACTTGAGATTGAAACATGTTTCAAGTTCAATTGAGTTAGAATTTTAAAAAAAGAAAAGAAAATAGTTTTAGAGGCCCACGCTAGTGTACGATACAGTTACTAAGTTTCATATATTTTATGTAGGTATCACATTGCGCGTTTGATTAAAGTTCAGGGACTAAACACGACATTAGAATACCCATTCACTCAGATTCGGTAATCATCAGTTAGTCATGGCATCCAAAGATGCAGACCCGTCACTCGGGTACTTGACTCGCAAAGACACAGAGGTGAAACTCCCTCGACCGACCCGTGTCAAAAACAAAACACCGGCTCCCATACAGATTACCGCCGAACAAATCCTCCGAGAAGCTCGGGAACGACAGGAGGCAGAAATCCGGCCGCCTAAACAAAAGATTACCGACCCGACTGAACTAGCTGATTATCGCCTCCGCAAGCGCAAGGAATTTGAAGACCTAATCCGCCGTGTTCGGTGGAATACCAGCGTTTGGATCAAATACGCCCAGTGGGAAGAGTCCCAAAAGGACTTCAATCGAGCACGGAGTGTTTGGGAGCGTGCTCTGGAAGTTGATTACCGAAACCACACTTTATGGCTGAAATACGCAGAAGTGGAAATGAAAAACAAGTTCATCAACCACGCAAGGAATGTTTGGGACCGTGCGGTCACGCTTCTTCCACGTGTGGACCAGCTCTGGTACAAGTGTATCCATATGGAAGAGATGTTAGGGAATGTCGCTGGAGCTCGCCAGATTTTCGAACGCTGGATGTCTTGGATGCCTGACCAGCAAGGTTGGCTTTCTTACATTAAGTTTGAGCTTCGTTACAATGAAGTGGAACGCGCTCGTGCCATTTATGAACGGTTTGTTCAGTGCCACCCCAAAGTCGGAGCTTGGATTAGATATGCCAAATTCGAGATGAAGAATGGGGAGATTGTACGGGCAAGGAACGTTTACGAACGTGCGGTGGAGAAGCTGGCAGATGAAGAAGATGCAGAGCAGTTATTTGTAGCTTTCGCTGAGTTTGAGGAACGATGTAAGGAAACTGAACGTGCTCGTTGTATCTACAAGTTCGCTCTTGATCATATACCCAAAGGGAGGGCAGAGGATTTGTATAGGAAGTTTGTGGCTTTTGAGAAACAATATGGAGATAAGGAAGGGATTGAGGATGCAATTGTAGGGAAGCGGAGATTCCAATATGAAGAAGAAGTGAGGAAGAATCCATTAAATTATGATTCGTGGATTGATTATATAAGATTAGAAGAGAACGTAGGGAATAAAGGGAGGATTAGGGAGGTTTATGAGAGGGCTATTGCTAATGTTCCTCCAGCTGAGGAGAAGCGGTATTGGCAAAGATATATTTACTTGTGGTGAGTTTTTGTGTGCGTAATGGGGGTATGCTTAATTTAATATTATTGTTCTGAACTAACTGACTTATGGTTTATTTGTAATTTAGGATTAATTATGCTTTATATGAGGAGCTTGATGCTGTGGATATGGAGCGGACAAGAGATGTGTACAGGTATCTGGCATTTCCTTTAATGGATTATGGTTTTGTTGGTTGCTACTGTTGCTAAATTGTAGTGAAATCAATGCTTCACTAAAAAATCTTGCCAACCAAACACTGCAAGATATTTGCCAATTGCTGACTATTTGAATGTTTGAATATGTCTGTTTCATTATGCTTCTGGTGAAGTTTTACCTTCTCTTGGTAATTATGCTGATGAAAAGGGAAAAAGTATGAGGAAAATCTCAAATTTAATGTATACCATTTGCAAAGGAACTAACTTGTTGATTACTGCTATCTTTATTGCATCTTTTTTTTTCTCATTGAATGTTGTATTTCTTTGTTCATCAGCATCTTCATTATTTCCACGGTTTTCTTTCTGTTCCATATTTCCCTGCTTTGCATATGTTCTTCTCTTCAGGTTTGTATGTGGACAGCTCTTTATATCCAAGGCTCTATGAGAAATGGCCTTGTTTCAAAAGGAAAGAGAATACTCGGTGTTTTTATCTTTTTTGACATAAGCTATCCTATATTTTCTTATGATTTGATGAATTAACTGGTTTTGTAATAGTTGGTAGGTAGTGGCTTGTTGTTACAAATTTTATTTTGATTGCTGTCTTGCCTCCCTCATCTTCTTGCATATACAAAAGATGCACTCTAAAGAATGACTCATGTTTTGGGTATTTTTAACCCTTTAGTTTTGTGTTTACAATAGCGGTTCCTCACTACTATAAATATTTTGCAGGGAATGCCTTAAGCTTATTCCCCACGAGAAGTTTTCTTTTGCAAAGATCTGGCTTCTTGCTGCACAATTTGAAATAAGACAACTCAATCTCAAGGGTGCACGACAAATTTTGGGAAATGCCATTGGAAAAGCTCCTAAAGATAAGGTAGGTATCTAACTGATGCTGAAAGTCTATAAATTTGACTATTTTAACATGAAGTTTTCTCACTGTCTATGTTGTTTACTTGTTTTGTTAACATTCAGATCTTTAAGAAGTATATTGAAATTGAGCTGCAACTCGGTAATATTGATCGTTGCCGAAAATTGTATGAGAAGTATCTAGAGTGGGCACCTGAGAATTGCTATGCATGGAGCAAATATGCCGAGTTAGAAAGATCATTATCTGAAACAGAGCGGGCAAGAGCTATTTTTGAGCTTGCCATCACACAACCAGCTTTGGACATGCCAGAGTTATTGTGGAAGGTAGTTGCCCTGACAATAACTGTTATATATTGTTTATCGTTGTGATTATAGTTACACCAACTTATTGTGAAGGCAGAAACTTTTATACCGAGTTCTGGGTGGGCGGGTGAATTCATTGTCTTTTGTAGCGGTCATGCTGGGTACTTTTGTCTTATTGCTTCATAGTTGATCCAATAAGTATTTTCATCTCATGATGAAGGTTCCTTTAGTGAAATGACTGATTATTTTCTTGATAATAGTTTGCATGTTTGCTAGGATGTGTCTTAATGAGTGATTTCTGTATTTTCCCTCGTAGTTTCTTTGTTGACTGATAGCTTTCGGCTTTTTTAGGAATATCATTTCTGATGATGTTATATTAAATGGTGTTAATGCTTCTTATTCTTTGACGATAGGCATACATAGATTTTGAAATTTCTGAAGGTGAATATGAACGAACCAGAGGATTGTACGAGAGACTTTTGGATCGTACAAAACACTTGAAGGTGTGGATTAGTTATGCCAAGTTTGAAGCCTCTGCAATGGAGGAGACTGATGTGGATTCGGACATGCCAGAAGATGGGGTTCGGGAACATGAATCAAAGAAGGGATGTGTTCAGCGTGCAAGAAGTGAGTTCAGACCAATCTAATATCTGCTGCCTGCTAGATCTTACTTTATTTATTAGCAAAATAAATTCTTACCTTCTATATTATTTTCCACCAGGAGTTTTTGAAAGAGCAATCAACTACTATAGAACGTCGGCAGCAGAATTGAAAGAAGAGCGTGCTATGCTCCTGGAAGAGTGGCTTAACATGGAAAGCAGTTTTGGAGAGCTTGGCGACGTTAGTGTAGTCCAGTCCAAGTTACCCAAGAAACTCAAAAAGAGGAAGCAAATTACAAGTGAAGATGGTGGTGTTTCCGGGTATGTAACTCTTATAATTTTACTCTGCTTCTACAGGTATCGCCATATCTGTATTCTGCCGGAACACTAAATGTTGAATCATTTGGCTTTTGGCAGCTATGAAGAATATATTGATTATGTATTCCCCGAAGAAAACCAGGCGACGAACCTCAAGATTTTAGAAGCCGCTTATAAATGGAAGAAACAGAAGCTTTCTACCGACGATGAATAGGATAATACTTGTGTTGCAACTCCAAATGTAAATTACAAAGCACCTGCCACAGCTTAATTGCATGATTCTTGAATGCCTGGATTTTTGTTCTGCTGTATTTGTGTTTTGGAAAACAAGCTGTTTAAGGGAAGTTGACATTGGAGAACTTTTATCATGTGGAACCAGTTATTGTTCGTTAAGGAATATTATGTTACTCGAATTAAGAGATTTTGTTATATTTTCATGGGTAATTATCTTTTAAATGGTTACAAAATATAGCGTAATTTATCAACTTCAACGTGTCACAAAAGTTATACCCACCACGATGCATCGAAGAATTAGCAGGTCAATGCGTACTTGGACAACTTCAACGCATCACAAAAAGCATCACCACCATGATACATCGAAGAATCAGCAGGGATCTTTCCCCCCACCACACGCCTACATCAAGCTTCAGGGATCACATTCGCCGTGTCGGCCCTTGCACGGGTGACACCTCTCCAATGACCACCTGATGCAACAATACTTTCCTCAACCTCAACTCGAACTTCATCAGCCACTGGCCCACCTGCTGCTGCCAAATAGGAACGAAGCCTATTGCACTGGCGACAATCACCACACTCTAACTCTAGAACCTTCTCCTATCATCACGGAGAAACTCCGTCTTGTGGAGATACATGGCATGCACACTGTAAGTAGCTTTAACATATTTGTGCAGGTCATCGGAGTATTCTTCCTGCTTACCGTTCTTTGCTCGAACGTCTGCTTCATAAAACTCCATACACTTCTCCCCGAGCTCAAGCTTATTCATGTGGCATACTGAGTTACAGGAGCATGCTCAGCATCAAGGGCTCAAATTTCCGCCTGCTCTTCCTCCTCACGCAACCTCATCTGCCGCTTCAACTCTATTCGAGCATCCTCTGAAGAAGCCCGAATCTCCTTGATCTTGACTACCATTCAACTGGGCCTCAAATATACTCATTATATTGACATTCCTAGCAGTCTCCGTCGGCATGGTACGCTCGGTTTCGATTCCTCCCATGCACCTTTCTTCATCCAGGATAAGTTTCATTAAAATGAATAAAATTTGAAACAGACTCAATTTTTGTTTACTTAAAACATGACCCAATTTATATAGTTTCGTCTTTCCTTGTATGGCTATTCAACGGTAATCTTATTTTGAATTTCAAATATCAGTCCGTTGCTCTGAGTCATCTTATTTTTGAATTTAAAAAATCAGACCGTTTCTCTCCGGCTCTGCCCCTCTTTAAAAACCCACTAATCGCTGTTTATCCAATCATACATCTTAAATCAAAGAAACACAGTTTATCTCGTAAAATTTTCTTCTCTTCTAAAAAATGGTGGATTTGGCGGTTGTTGTTGATGTGCCGAAGAAATCGAAAAAAAATGGAAGGAAAGCCTTGAAAGACAAAAACCCATCGACAAATGAAGCCAATATTTTGGCACAAAAGCTCTCCCCAGTCCCACCGGTTCCTTCTCCGATGGAAGCCGACGATCCCTCCAAAGCGAACTCTGGAACTCTCACTTCCCCCAAGAAAGCAAAGGCCGCCGCAGCCAAATCGAAACAGAGCAAGCAATCGTTCGAGAAAGACTTGCAAGAAATGCAAGATATGCTTCAGCAGTTGAGGATCCAGAAGGAGAAGACGGAGGAGTTGTTGAAGGAGAAAGATGAGATGCTGAAGCTGAAGGAAGAAGAGATCGAGACCAAAGGTAAGAAACAAGAGAAATTGCAGATGGAGCTGAAGAGATTGCAGAAAATGAAGGAATTCAAGCCGACCATGGTACCCTTTTTGTTTGATTTCCCTTTATTGATTCAAATTTTGGGACGATTCTTAATTTATCATTGATGTTATTTGTTCAGACTTTTGCGATTCCTCAGTCTTTGAAAGAGAAGAAAAATGGTGGATCTGAAAAGAAAAGGCCGTCACCACCTTACATTTTATGGTGCAAAGATCAATGGAAAGAGATAAAGAAGGAGAATCCAGAGGCGGATTTCAAAGAGGTTTCGAATATTTTGGGTGCGAAATGGAAGATGATCACTGCCGAAGAAAAGAAGCCCTACGAAGAGATATACCGAGCCGAAAAGGAAGCGTATTTGCAGGTGATGGCGAAAGAGAAGCGCGAGACCGAAGCGATGAAGCTCTTGGAAGATGAAAACAAGCAAAAGTCAGCCATGGAGTTGCTTGAACAATACCTGCAGTTCAAGCAAGAAGCGGAGAAAGAAACAACCAAGAAGAAGACCAAGAAAGAAAGGGATCCCTTGAAGCCGAAGCAACCAATGTCGGCTTTCTTTTTGTTCTCCAGCAAGCGGAGGGCAGCTCTTCTAACAGAGGACAAAAGCAATAACATTTTGGATGTCGCAAAGATCGCCGGCGAAGAGTGGAAGAACATGACTGAAGAACAACGACGACCGTACCACGAGGTAATTTATCGAACCTGAAAACCTTATCTATTAATAAGGGCTCTGCAATTTCTCATGTAATTTTGTGGATTTTGCTTGCAGATGGCAAAGAAGAACAAGGAAAAATACATGGAGGAAATGGAGGCATACAAGAAGAGAAAGGAAGAAGAAGCTTCGAGTCTCCAAAAACAAGAGGAAGAAACAATGAAACTCCATAAACAAGAAGCTCTGCAACTGCTTAAAAAGGAGAAAACAGATAACATCATCAAGAAAACAAAGGAGAAACGCCAGAAAAACAAGCCTGTATCAGACCCTAACAAGCCAAGGAAGCCTGCATCTTCATTCCTTTTGTTCAGCAAAGAAGCAAGGAAAACTCTAATGCAAGAGCGAGAAGGGATCAATAATTCCACACTCAATGCATTGATTTCAGTGAAATGGAAGGTATATGATGTTACCTTAAGTTAGGATTTTTCGGGTTCAAGTCTCGATCTTTCTTATTAATTGACATTGGGTTTCTGTGTTATTGGATGTTATTAGGAACTTGGTGAGGAAGAGAGGAATGTTTGGAATGGAAAAGCAGCTGAAGCCATGGAAGAATACAAGAAGAAACTCGAAGAATATAATAACAAATGTGCAGAGGTGAACAAGCAGCAGTGATGAAATGTTCTTGATGTTGTTTTGTTTGAAACATCAATCCTTTTGATGAACTGTTCTTACACAGTAGGATCTGGTTATTTTAAGTTCTTGTCATGTTGATTTTGCCTCATTGCAATTTAGCTTCAAAATTCTGGAATTCATATCATCTTTTGAGAAATATAAAGCTGTAGTTTTTTTTTTCAGTACAAATCCTTCTGTTTGTTTTCTCAGAAAAAATAATCCTCATAAACTCGACTCGACTTAATTTTTTTATTCAACTTGATCCAATACTCACTCCTACTTATATATCCTCTGCATTAGTGAATGCAAACTGTGAAAGCATCTCGAAATAGACTCGTAGCAATAGAGCACTTTGATTCCCATATCAACTTTCAGAATAAAAATCAACGAACCAAGATCTTATATATCAAATGGACATCGCCATCAAGGAACTTGTTCTTTAGGTTATTCGATTTATATTATTCCACACTTCATGCTTAATATGATTCTTTGCCTCCGTCTTCGAACACATTTTTGTTTTCAATGCTCACATCCGAACCCGAGTAACATAGCTCTTCAACACAAGTTGATAGAATTTCTCAACAGAGGAACCTGGCATAACCTAAGAAAGTAAGATTCAAAGCATGATGTAACAACATGCAAAAGAACCTCACTTTCCCTATAGGACAGTACTGCATTTCATTGCCAAATTCAGAAGGCAGCCTAGAGGAGAAAAGAAAGCTTGAGCCTTACGGTAAATCCCATCCTTTCCTATCAATCGCTATGGCTACGGAACAGTGTGTGCGTCCTGTCGAGAAAAAGCCGGACGAAACGAGCCATGGATATCATCTGGTCGGCGGCCACAACCAAGTTCTTAAGGAGAGTAAGAGTGTGAGTTAACATCATGTTCACAACCAGCAGAACCACGGCATCCATGCTGCTCAGCATGCCGAGTCCAAGGCCCCGAGCCACGGCATACGTGCTCCGCAACATGTGGCTCATGGTATGGACCACGGAAAGAAGGAAAAGAAGATGAAAGACAACAAGGAGAAGAAAGAAAAGAAAGACAAGAAGGAAAAGGAAAAGGAAAAGAAGCCCGAGAAGAACAAGGAGAAGAAGGAGAATCACAAGAAGTGCAAAGACGACAACAACGATAGCGACTAAAGGTGAAAACCCTTCTGCACAAGAAGCACAATAGATGATGTACCTGGCACATAGAGTTGCCATACTACACACTAAATAAAATTGACCTGCAGTCTCTACAGCAGTCAAATATGGCATGTAATCCTATGTAATCCTACAAATTATCATATCACCTATCAAATAAAAAGGCAAAACAGATAATAGTTTTATGAATATGTCATGGTTTTGTTTGTTGATAATTGACGCCTGCAATCTTTCACTCTGATAAAACATTCAACCTTGCAAAGCTAATTCGAACGAACGAATTCTATATTGTCTACCGGCAGATTGATGTTTCGGGTGATCCGAAACGAATGCTATATTGCAATGGCTTCAAGAGTTGCATCTTCAGCTCCCTCTTGGGTCGATCCCTTAAGTTTCAAGGTGCTTTTCTACATAAACATGGGTAAGAAAATCTCATGTTACACATAATTAACAAAGATAACATCATGCTAAAAGAAATGAACATCAAATTCACGATTTCCGCACAACCAAAAGACGAAAATACGAAGTCAAAAACATCCATTAATTCATGTAAAGAACTATGCATTAAGGTGTGAAGAGTACCTGCACAAACATCACAGGAACTTTAAGTTGAAGTAAAGTTCCGTCTCTTACTGCTCCATCCATCCCTATATTAAAGCAAATATGACCTTTAAAATAAGATATACTAGCAAGCATCAAAGGAATTTACAAAAATATTAAAGAAAACATGAGCCATAACATTGATCATGGAACATCAACACCAGGATTAAGTTATACCAGAATGCACTGGCAACCTTAAAGAGTGCCCTAAGCACGGACGTTTCTTTTCATCTGCACAAATTCAGTTCACTAAACGATAAATAAGAGCTTCATTTAATCTTATAAAGGAAGAAAGTGAGAAAAGAGCTCCATTTCTTCCTATGCGTTCGTTTCACGGTTCATTTGAGTTTAAAAGGCATTTTCCAACCATGCAACTAGCCCTGTTGCCCAATTTGCAAGATATGCAACTGGTTTTAGAGATTAAAAGGCAAAGGAATGTCAATGGAGAATTTAATCTTAGCGTTTACAATATTAAAGATAAACAATCACGTTCATGCATGGATAATGGTAAATAGATGCCTAAGCAACTAAAATTTATTCTTTTTTTTATCTTAATGCCCTGCATGGTTCTTAAGGGACAAATTCCCCATGTGTTCCTGTCCATTTTTTAATGATTTCAAGCTAAGATAAGCTCTAAAAACCATTCAAATTTTGATTGGTTTATTACCACTCACAAACCATAATTGTAAAGAACATCAAATCCTGTGGTCCACGTGAGATTTATCATAGAGATTAAAGATGACTTTTTTCTTATAGCCAATTCTCTCCAAGGTGAATCAACCAAACAAATCAATTGGGATTGAATCTTACAAGGTGCTGGTTCCTCATGTTGAAAGTCTTTGCACTTTCGGTGCATTGAAAATGGCAGTATAATTGGACGGCAAATGTGGTCAAAATTTGGCCACCAAATTTTGAATTTATGTAATGGGTAAATAACAAATTTAGTCATTACAATTTAGGGTATTTACAAGATTAGTCCTTAAGGCTTCAACTATAAATATCCTACTTCATTTAGCTTCAAAACCATCTCAAAACATTCTAGTTTTCTTCCAATACTAGAGAGAATTTAGAGAGTTTCTTGAGAGTTGTTTTCTCCTTTTTATCAAGAGAGAATTATCATTGTTTTCTCCTTGGTAGATCGAGAGAAGTTGTAATTCCTATTTTCTCATAGTGAAATTCTTCTACCGTTGCCCGTGGTTTTTACCCTATTTTATTCAGGGGTTTTCCACGTAAATTTTGTGTCTCATTTTATCTTCATTTTTATTTTCTCAAATTATCAGTTGCGATTTTGCTCTATCCGATAGCCGTCTTCCGCAACAATTGGTATCCGAGCCAGATTTGAGTGTGTAATATCTGCTTATTGTCTTTGTGGTTGCCACCAAAAGGTGGATCATCCAACATAAGAAAGTAAGAAGGTATTACCCATTATTTGAAGGTTCCAGAGAACTATTCACGTAGTGAAATAGTGGGAGCTATCCGTAAAAGAAGCTATGACAACGAAATTTGATATTGAAAAATTCAATGGGAGAAATTTCTCATTGTGGAAATTGAAGATGAAGGTCATCCTGAGGAAAGACGGTTGTTTAGCAGCTATCAGTGAAAGGCCGGTAGATTTCACAGATGACAACAAATGGATCGAAATGGACGGGAATGCTATGGCAAACTTTCATCTAGCATTAGCAGATAAAGTATTGTCAAGCATCGAGGAGAAAAAGACAGCTAAGGAGATATGGGGATCATCTCACCAAACTGTACGAGGCCACATCGCTGCACAATAAAATTTTCCTTAAGAGAAAATTGTACACTCTCCGTATGCCAGAATCTACTTCAGTGACGGAGCACTTAAATACACTGAACACTTTATTTTCTCAGCTTACATCTTTAAGCTGTAAAATAGGAGAACAAGAACGTGCTAAACTTCTACTTCAAAGTCTACCGGATTCGTATGATCAACTCATCATCAACTTGACAAACAGTAATGTCACCAGTCTAGTCTTCGATAACGTTGCAACTGCTGTTCTACAAGAAGAAAATCGGTGTGAGAACAAAGATGACAGACAAGTAAATCTGCAACAAGCAAAAGCGTTAACAACGATGACAACGATGAGAGGGAGATCAACAGAACGTTGCCAAAGCAGCAGTCACAAACATGGTAGATTGAAGTCGATAAGAAAGAAGAATTTAAAGTGCTACAACTGTGGAAAGAAGGGTCACTTGAAGAAGGATTGTTGGAGTCTAAATAAAAACTCCAATCCACAAGGCAATACCGCAAACACTTCAGATGATGGAGATGCTCTATGCTGTGAAGTGTCAACCACCGTGGAAGGCAGAAAAAGATTTGCAGATATATGGCTCATTGATTCAGGAGCAACATATCACATGACCTCAAGAAGAGAATGGTTCCATCAGTATGAACCTGTCTCAGGAGGATCTGTGTATAGTTGCAATGATCATGCCTTAGAGATCATTGGCGTGGGAACCATCAAATTGAAGATGTATGATGGAACAATTAAAGTTGTTCGAGATGTGCGGCACGTGAAAGGCCTGAAGAAAAATTTATTATCCTACGGATTGTTGGATAATAATGCAAGCAAGATTGAAACACGGAAAATAATCATGAAGGTGTTCCGTGGAGCGCTTATGGTGCTGAAAGGCGAAAAGATAGCTGCAAACTTGTACATGCTGAAGGAAGAGACTTTGCTAGAAGTAGAAGCCTCTGTTGCCTCATGTAGTTCAAATTCTACAATTCTATGACATCAGAAACTTGGACACATGTCAGAACAAGGAATGAAAGTACTTGTGGAGCAAAACCTACTTCCAGGCTTAACAAAGGTATCACTTACCTTGTGTGACATTGCATAACAAGTAAGCAGCACCGGTTGAAATTCAACACGTCAAATTCTAGAGGCAAAAGTGTTCTAGAATTGGTTCACTCTGACGTATGCAAGCACCAGTTACATCCCTAGGCGGAGCAAAATACTTTGTCTTATTTATTGATGACTACTCTAGGAGATGCTGGGTGTACCCTATTAAGAAGAAGTCATATGTGTTTTCAACTTTCAAAAACTTCAAAGCGTGGGTGGAACTTGATTTGGAAATAAGATCAAGTGTTTCAGAACAGATAATGGAGGAGAATACACAAGCGAAGAATTTGATGACTTTTGCAGGAAAGAAGGCATCAAAAGACAGTTCACAGTGGCGAACACTCCTCAACAAAATGGAGTGGCAGAGCGGATGAACAGAACCTTGTTAGAAAGAACAAGAGCAATGTTGAGGGATGCAGGCTTAGAAAAATCATTCTGGGCAGAAGTAGTCAATACCGCTTGTTATTTGGTGAATCGAGCTCCATCAACTGCAATAGAGCTGAAGACACCAATGGAGATGTGGACTGGTAAACCAGCTGATTATTTAAACCTCCATGTATTTGGAAGTATTTTGTACGTGATGTACAACTCCCAAGAAATTTCAAAGCTAGATCCAAAATCCAAGAAATGCAAATTCTTGGGGTATGCTGATGGTGTAAAGGGGTATCGCTTATGGGATCCCACTGCCCGCAAAGTGATCATAAGCAGGGATGTTATCTTTGTAGAAGATAAACTACAAAGAAAAGAAGATGATGATAGCGCTGAAAAGTCAGAGACTACACAGATACATGTGGAAAATGAGGTTAAACAAGGAGATTATTCTGAAGCAGAACCAGCACATGATGAACAAGAACCAGATAGTTCTGAAGGTCCAACAACTCGTCAATCAGATCGTGTGTGAAGACCCCAATTGGTACTCAGATTATATTATAGAAGGTAATATTGCATATTGCCTTTTAACAGAGGACGGTGAGCCATCAACATACCATGAGGCAATAAACAGCTCAGTTGCTTCACTGTGGATGATGTCGATGCAAGAAGAAATCGAAGCCCTTCATAAAAATAATACATGAGACCTTGTGCCACTACCACAAGGAAGGAAGCCAATTGGTAACAAATGGGTCTTCAAAATCAAGCGAAATGGTGACGATCAAGTTGAGAGGTATCGTGCAAGACTGGTGGTCAAAGGATATGCTCAAAAAGAAGGTATTGATTTAATGAAATATTTTCTCTTGTGGTTCGACTAACAACAGTTCGAGTAGTTTTGGCAATGTGTGCTACATTGAACTTACATCTAGAGCAGCTAGATGTTAAAACAGCTTTTCTTCATGGAAATCTTGAAGAAGAGATTTACATGCTCCAGCCTGAAGGTTTTGAAGAAAAAGAAAAGAAGAACTTGGTTTGCAGGTTGAACAAATCTCTGTACGGTCTAAAGCAGACGCCGAGGTGTTGGTATAAGAGATTTGATTCCTTCATTATGTGCCTTGGATACAACAGACTTAATGCAGACCCTTGTGCTTGTTTCAAGAGGTCTGGTGATAACGATTTTGTTATATTGCTTTTGTATGTGGATGACATGTTGGTTGCAGGACCCAACAAAGATCATATTGAAGAATTTAAGGCACAACTGGCTAGGGAATTTGAAATGAAGGACTTGGGATCAGCAAACAAGATTCTAGGGATGCAAATTCACCGAGACAGAAATAATAGGAAGATTTGCTTTCACAAAAGAATTACTTGAAGAAGATCTTGTCACGATTCACATGCAAGATTGTAAGTCAATTTCTACCCCTCTTCCTATTAACTTCAAATTATCCTCCAGTATGAGTCCTAGCAGTGAAAAAGAGAGGATGGAGATGTCTCGAGTACCGTATGCATCAGCAGTGGGAAGTTTAATGTTCGCTATGATATGCACAAGACCAGACATTGCACAAGCAGTGGGAGTGGTTAGTCGGTACATGGCGAATCCAGGCAAAGAGCATTGGAATACAGTAAAGAGGATCCTGAGATACATCAAAGGGACCTCAAATATTGCATTATGTTACGGAGGATCAAATTTACTAATCAATGGTATGTAGATTCTGACTATGCAGGAGATTTGGAAAAAACAAATCTACTACAGGATATGTGTTTAAAGTTGCTAGTGAGCTGTAAGCTGGGTTTCAAAATTGCAGTCAGTTGTGGACTTCCACAACAGAAGCAGAATATGTAGCAGCTACACAAGCAGTAAAGAAGCAATCTGGTTGAAGATGCTATTGGAGGAGCTTGGGCACAATCAAGAGTATGTCTCTCTGTTTTGTGACAGTCAAAGCGCCTTGCATCTAGCAAGGAATCCAGCATTTCATTCAAGGACAAAGCACATACGAGTTCAGTACCATTTCATTCGTGAAAAGGTGGAAGAAAGGACGATATATATGCAGAAGATCCATACCAAAGACAATATAGCAGACTTCATGACGAAGGCGATCAACGCTGATAAATTTACCTGGTGTCGATCCTCCTGTGGTCTGTCAGAGACGTAAGCAACATAAAGGTACAAGGTAGAAAGAATTGTGTGAAGATATGATTGTTCCAAATCAAATCTTCAAGTGAGAGATTGTTGAAAGTCTTTGCACTTTCGGTGCATTGAAAATGGCAGTATAATTGGACGGCAAATGTGGTCAAAATTTGGCCACCAAATTTTGAATTTATGTAATGGGTAAATGAAAAATTTAGTCATTGCAATTTAGGGTATTTACAAGATTAGTCCTTAAGGCTTCAACTATAAATACCCTACCTCATTTAGCTTCAAAACCATCCCAAAGCATTCTAGCTTTCTTCCAATACTAGAGAGAATTTAGAGAGTTTCTTGAGAGTTGTTTTCTCCTTTTTATCAAGAGAGAATTATCATTGTTTTCTCCTTGGTAGATCGAGAGAAGTTGTAATTCCTATTTTCTCATAGTAAATTCTTCTACCGTTGCCCGTGGTTTTTATCCTATTTTATTTAGGGTTTTTTCACGTAAATTTTGTGTCTCCTTTTATCTTCATTTTTATTTTTCTAAGTTATCAGTTGCGATTTTACTCTATCCGATTGCCGTCTTCCGCAACACCTCACTCTCCCTCAAAGACTTCCAGTAATGCTAGAGGACACTGCCCCATCAATGCCCGAAGTCTTTGGAGAGAGTGAATAAAAAAAGTGCCTTCTGAATTCGCCTAGTTTTCTTCCAGGCTTAAACTGAAGCCATGGGACGATAGTGGATAACATTCAACATTCTTCGTGTTTGTTCGTTTTACTATTCATGTTCGAGGTTTTAACAATACATAACCCATATATGCTTTTAGTAATCTCAAAACTTGGTTTTTTTACAGGTTCCATATAATGAAAATCATGCTATGGTATCAGAGAAAGGACACATGAGAATTCTGTTCCAAACCATGTGTTGCATGTGAAGGAATGACCCACAAATGCAGACACTGCATCCACAAAGCTAGAACCGTTTCAAGTATGGTCTTTTGTCGTGCTGCTGCACTTCATAACCTTAACTGGATAAAGTGTAGTGAATTGTTTCAAATCAGTTGTCCCATCTTCACCAGCCAAATTAGCCCCAACACAGATTTAAAAGGATAGAAAGGAATCTAGCCATCTTTCATTTGTGTCCCTTTTTATTACCTTTGGCTGGTGATTGGGTTACATTTGTTGATGCTGATGGTATTTTTACGGTTTAATTATCTCTTCTGATTAAAACATTGAATCGTTAATCATACTTAAATCTCCATTGAAATGGCCAGAGCCTTATCTCTTAGACCCTTTCTTAATTGAACCAAGAAAGCTTAAACCTACATGTACAACTGTTGAACAAACTTGAAGCTTTTGTGCATTAATGCACTAAACAAGCTCTTGATTCTTCTCCACAACTCTCACCCCATTTGCAGATCTAAGCACATTGGCCTGCTTTCATTCAACAAAAAATCCATAAATCAAAAGGATCCAGAGGCTACATCCTCGCACATGAATATGAATGACAAGATTATAGAGATGAGATCACCTGAGTTTCAGTGATTTCGACTGCAAAACCATCAACAATGACCAAAGACAAGGTCCTCTTGTAAGTGCCAGCTTGAAGAGTGCTTGCCAGAAGCTGGTCGTGCTTCTTACTCAGATATAGATCAAGCTCGTACGCTCCTTTCTCAGTTCTATCGAAGAACAACAAAGAAAATAAACACGGAGAAGAAAGTTGCATATACAGAAATTAAGAAGAACAAGTGATGATATATTAATGAAACTCACCGATCAGCTCGAAGTCGCTGGTACTCTGGATCGTAGTTCATGAAACAAAGTACAACTCAGTTTCTGTGCTTCTCATTTTATTTTGTTTATTGTTTTATTTTCTACAAGTTTGGGTTGGTCAATTTATATATGAACAGTTATATAGGCACACATATATATAATTTATTTAATTTAAATTAATATTATATGCAAATATATAATATATGAGTTTAAAAAGTTATGCAGGAGGAGTGTGAGGAGGAAGTCAAAAGGAACCCTAATTCTGAAATCTGAGCTATATATGTATAGCTATACCGAGACTTAAATATTTGAATAGATTAATTAATGCGTTCATTGACCTTAGCAGATCACGGCAACATTTCCGATGTATAATGTTGATGCCCACAAACAGGAACATTAAACCTACCCCATTTAACGTTTGCTTACATTCTAATCGTTCTTCTAACCTCCATTAACAATCAGCTTTAAAGCCAGAGATGCATTTCACCTCTTTTAATATATTTTACTTAGACATGAGAATATTTTATTCGAATCCATAAGTTTGGGTCTAATTTGATCTCATAAGATTTAAGTTTTTTTCCCTAAAAAAATAAATAAATTAAGGGCAGCAAAAATATCTTGTCTGCCGGTAAAATGGTGGAAGGTACGTACCTCCAAGAGGGCTAAACGGCAGTGCACGTGGGAACATTACGTGCGTGGTAGGAAAGAACAAGTGGAGGGCCCACCTATTATTTTATCCACGTGTCAGCTCATCAGATGGAAAGGAGGGGGACCTATTCTTTTGAGGTTCTTTATGATGCATCATGAAGACACGTATATATGTTAGAATTTGATTGGCAGACACAGAAAGCTGTAAGTCACGTGGATGGGGTTTTCATTAGCTTTGTTTGACAGTACAGGTTCCAATTCTTCCATTGCATCCATTCATACATTCTTCGATTTAATCCATCCATCATCCAAATACTATCATTATCATCATCGTCGTAGTCGTCATGCCATGATAAATTCAATTTTTTTGACAAAAAAAATACGTGAAGCACTCGTATTTAAAAAAAGAAAGTCAATGTGATTGTCGTATCCTTTTACATTCAAAATCTTTAAACTTAGAAAATAGATTTAATATGATTCTTTAATTAACGATTTTTATTGTTAACTATTACAATATTGACGTGATTGATGTCATAACTGATGATGTGATAGATTGACTAAATTGATTTTTTAGTCGAATTAATGGAGCAAATTGTTTTTTTTTAATTTATGGGCTTATTTGATTTTTAAGAAAAAAATAAAAATAATTTATAATAAAAAATATTAAAAAATTAAATATCAAAAATAAATTTTAAATTTACCAAATATTAAAAATATCTATTATTTTTATCTCGAATTTAACTTACTTTTATTTATATAAACATAAATTAGTCCATCCTACACAATTTTTTTTTTGTATATTTACCTCTAATTATCTTAAACTTCAAATGTCTTTCTAATTCAATTTCATTGAAATTTTATAAAAAAATTCATTTAATTCAATTTTATAAAAAAATTAGTGAAATAAAATTTAAAAATCACTATATCATAAAATATATAATTAAAAAATAATATTTAAAAGTTATAAAATTAAAATGTATGCACAAGTTATCATAAAATATATAATTAAAAACTATTAAAATTAAGAAGAGTATTCTAGTAAATATAACATGATAGAGGAAAATAAATTCACTAAATATGGACTCCACGTGTTTGAGATTTTTTTATTATCCATAATATTTATTTTTTAAATTTTTCAAGAAATAAAAAATTTGTCTCTATAAATAAAAATATAATAATACTCAAATTAAAATTGACATGTACGAACATAAATACATAAAAATATATTTATGCCGCTAGATAAAATAAATTCACATTTAAATTTATCTCTAAATTGAATAAATCATTTAAAAATAACATTTTCAACCACTCTAGTTAATATATATATATATTAGTAATATAATTTTTATTTTTAATATTTTAATATTTTTTTATATATTTATATAGTTTAAATTTAAAATAATTTTTTCTAAAAAATCAAGTAAATCCTTGAATTAAAAAAACAATTTAACCCTCAAATTCGATAAAAAAATCAATTTAGATCAATTGTCACATCATCATTCGCACCACCAACCATTGTGGACAGTATGTCAGTAATGTTAAGTGTCACGTCAGTACCATAATGGTAAACGACAAAAATTGTTGGTCAAAAGGCCACATTAAATTTTTTTTCTAAGTTTGAGAATCACTTTAAGTGGAAAAAAATATAAGGATCATATTGATTTTTTTTAAAATCGACCCTCCTTTTTGTCTGTTTTATTATTATATTTGTGATTGATATATGCGTAAAATATACCCTTAGGCCACCCAACTATTGTTTCCGTTATAAACTAATCACTTTCTTTTACTAAAACTTACAATTTAATCATTTGAGATCGAGTCCCATGGAGGGCATTTCATAATTTGGAGGTCTGCGACGGAAGCTGCTCTCAACCTAGTGTTGGGGACAGCCTACTATCTTACCTCCCCCTTACCCCATTACATATAGGAACGAGGGACAACCATTTTTTTTTACAATTTAATCATTTGATTAAAACTATTATAAATAGATTGTTTGTCGCTAAATAATAGACGGAATAGAATGAACCAAGTGATTTCATTGGTTAATACATTGTTATTATCCCTTGAGGTTTCATGTTAGAGCACGACGTCTGCAAGGGTGTATAACGTTCATTGTCAAATGGTTGAGAGTCCTTCAAACAGATATTACATTTTATTCACTTCAGACTTATAAAAAATAGACGGAATAATAATATAGTCTGGCATAAAAATAGTTTTAATCCCAAAATTTATATATTTTAGCAATCTAGTCCTAATTTGAAATAATTCGTGATTTTGAAGGACTTTATGTTCCCATGAACGTTCATTTTCATGTTCTTCTGTAACCGATTGCTTGTGCAATGTCAGCATAGCTTAGTAGATAATCTATGAAATTGAAAAGCAGACCTGAAAGCAAGTCAGCTAACCATAAAGATAATAATATGGTTTTGATATCAAGAAACTATTTTGGTTCAGAAAAAAAAAAATCAACCGAGTAAAATTAGAAAGACTTAATTTTTTATTAGAAAGACTTAACCAGTGTCTTGCTAACTCTTTAGCATGATGGATAGTCGCCGTGGGGTCTGCCACTTCTCTGCTCAAGCATACCTCCATCCTTTGGCGCCATATGCACCACAATATGCTCGCGATGTTGCATGGGAAGTCGCGTTCATCTTCGGCGGTCCGAGTGTTTTGAACAATGACTGAATGTATCAGGATCCGAACATTCTTGAGGGGGAGATCGGAGACTCTCAAGCTGATGTCTGACCCGAACCACACTGTTCTTGCAAAGTCGCATGAGATGAAGAGGTGATCCAGAGTACTACCGTCGTGCTCTCGATCACACAGGGAACACGCCGTGTTTTCTTGTCGTATACTCTTCCTCGTCTCGAGGTAACAAGATAGGTTGTTCGACACAATATTCCAAAGAAACAGGATGATCTTAGAGGGGAGTCTTAATCCACACAGGTTTCTCCGGACTTCCCTTTTCCAGTCGGATTCCATGATATCGTCTAGGCTAATCGATGCATCGATCACCTCTTTTGCCGCATGGTGTCCTATTCTGACTCTGTTAGCTTCACTCGACTCTTTAGAGATCAAGTTGCCCCAACTTTGATAGTTGAATCCTCTTAGTCTTTGGCATAGGTCTCTCCATATGCATGGTTCATCTGGTTTGTGCCTGGTCTTGAGGAAATCGTATCGAGAGACGGTCCTGGACCTCTTTTTTCCGACATGGCATCTACACCTTTTCGTGAGGATTCTTTCTGCAGCGAAAGATGAACAATATACGACTCGATGAGGCCGAGTTGATAGCAGTCATACATGGCTTTTCGATGATTTTCTCCGATCTGCTCGGTTGTAGATTGAATTGGCTTCGGATTGGATCTTCAGATGATTTGGGGCTTTCTGACGTTCATTTTATCTTAGGAATGGTTCATGGATATTCTCGTCGATTATAGTTTATTGGGTTTAACGCTTTCTTAGAAAACAAGTCTCTATATTTTTCGGATTTTCACCCACGGTTCTACCGAATAACTCGTTTTGACCCGGAGTTGCACGTTGCGTCGTTCACCAGGTCCAGATGAGACGGGCCAAGTTCCCCTGTGGCAGCTATTAGTCGAGCGAGCTAATAGACCTTATGAAGCCTCACCACCAGGACCAGGACAATATGTTTTTGAGGTTTTCATGACCATTAGGTGGCATGAATAATAAGAGATTTGCTTGTATAATAATAACACTATATAGAACTCTCTTTAGGAGTATTGGTTTTCTTCTGGTTTTCAATCGATTACAGAGATCCGGAGATCAATTTAAAGGACATGAACTATTTTATATGAAAATTAAAGACTAATATGAATGAATCCTAGATATGACTGGCGCATGAATCACTCTGTTGTGGGCTAGTGAGTTGGGCGCATGGCCATGGACTTACCTCGATAGCAGCTCCACTTACATCGGAGCACTTCCATGGAGGAGATCTTGGTCCAGTCATGCCATGGAGGTTAATCTTCGAAAGACAGATGCCGGTGAAAGGGGCGTTCTTCAGGCCTTGTATCGAACCAGCTTGCTGGACTCTCACACCCCAAATGTTCTTCAACGTGATGCCCTTGACATAAGGGAGAGCGTTCGGGTTGAACCGGTTATCAGGGTGGTCCCCTGTGTCGCCTGCGATTTTGATACCGGTTCTTACGTTCTCCATGAACACTTGAGTTACTGTGATGTTTCTTATAAACCCTCCCCGGCCGATGTTAGTTTTGATGTTAACACCGATTCCGCTGTTGTAAAGAACTATGTTCTCAGCCAAGACGTTCTCCACTCCACCGGAGGCTTCACTTCCCACCGCGATTCCAGCAAATGGGGATGACCCTGTTACTCGTCGGATGGTAATGTGAGAGCTGGGGCGTCCGTAAGCGATCCCGTATTCATCCCATCCACTCTTCACAGCAACGAGATCATCTCCAGTGGAGATGAATGAGTCTTCTATGCAGACATTGGAGCTCGAATCTGTACCGATGAATGAAAGCAACAAACTTAACCATTCAGAAATTTCAAGTTGTTCTATTCAATAATCAATACAGTTCATGTATGCTGGGACATAAACCTATATTTCGATCTAGATAAAAACCTGAACCTTAAACCGAACCGAGGAAGAACAATTCCTTTTGTTTCAGTTTGTTCTCTAACAGTAGCATGAACTTTAACATAATCAAGCCTATACTAACAAGATGAATTCAATGAATAAAATAGATTTCGCTTTTTACCAGGATCGATCCCGTCAGTGTTCGGGGAATCAGACGGAGCCACGATGGTAACATATCGAACAACAACATTCCTGTAAAGAAGAAAAACACAAAAGGTAATGATTAAATAACACATTCTTTCTCAATAAGTGCATGCTTGGAAAAGAAGTTACCTGCAATAAACGGGGTGAATGTTCCAGAAAGGTGAATCTCTGAAAATCACATTGGAAATGATAATGCCTCTGGAATTCATGAACTCAACAAGATTTGGTCTTGTAAATTGGAGGCTTCCCTGTCTCCACATGTTCCACCAGACACCTCCTTGGCCATCAATTGTGCCATTCTCACCTGAAATTGTTGAAAAAAAAGAGATCAAACATGGAGATTTAAGTGAACTTTGCATAAACCGTATTATCGTCGAGACCTACCGGTGATCACGACATCTTGTAGTCCATCTCCATGAATGAAGCTCATGTATCTTCCACCAGGTCGCTCTCTTCCCCTTCCATAAGATGGCAAAGGAGCAACCAAAGGCCAATTCCAGGTGTCCTGATGTAGTAACACAGGAAGAAAACTGTAAGAACATCCAACAAATCTTATGTTGCTATTGTATTTCAGCATGATATTGATCACATTGAAGTACTAGAAAAGGAACAGGAAAAATGGTTCCCGGTGATTCATGAATTAACAAACTTATGTTACTAGGACTATTCATTTTTTAAATAAAATAACACAAATATTCAATAACTCTCTAAATACATAAAAAAGCGTCCAGAATCCAAGTAACACATGATCATCATCGTCATCATCATCCACTCATATAGTCATATTGGTTACAACTACTTGTAATCCAGAAGAGTGAATTTATTAATTAATTAAGAATCTTAACACTGTAAGATGATACTGACAGATTATATCAATCTAGATAGAGCACCTAGTTGGACAACAATGGTTGCCAGCTATCTCTGTCTGGTCTCAGTGGCATGCACATGCCACCGTACTACGGAGACCCACCATGTAATGTTTTTTCAATATATATTTCTTTTTATCTCTGTCTTAGGGTCTGATGGGATAGTAACCTCTTAAATTTTCAAAAATTTTATATAATTTATATAAATATTTTTATTTAAAATTCTTTAAACACATCTTTAACATTAAAATTAAAAATTTTATGTCCATCTTTATTTGGACCCACCCCATAATTCAAAGAGACATCTTTACCCCAAATTTTCAAGACGACCACGGCCACCCTGGCTGAGCCCAAACCAAAAGTGTCCCACTAAAATTGACATCTCCCGACTTACCAGACTATACGCAAAACCAAAATCCAAATCTTCCCACAATTATATCATACATCATAAATAATTGAAACCCAGAATTCATTATCTTCTATAAGATAAAAGGATTAGTGTAAGTATCATATACGAGTATGTTTGTCTATATTTATCCCACATAGATGCGAAGATATGCACAATTCAAGCAAAAACAAGCACACAAATGCAAGATAATAGTAAACAAAAAGAAAAAAACACACACATTAACGTGACAAATTCTAAATGAAAAACCATGAACAGAGAAAAAAAATACTATAATCACAGTAAATTCGACAAACTTTCATCAGACTAAATTTAGTCACAAACTCTTAACAATTTTCAGCAACAACTACAGCCAAAATATAACCAAGTATTGATACGAAATGGAAAATGTTTGTTGAGTTACCTGAGTGGCTCTGATAACGGCGCCTCTAGCCAAATAAAGAGTCATATGGCTAGTAAGATTAAAGCTTTCCGTTAAGTACACCCCAGGAGGCACATAAAGCAGTGTGCCACCTCTCCTTCTCAGATGCTGAATCCGAAATATAGCTGCCCGGAACGCCTTCGTATTGACCGTCTTTCCGTCGCCAACGGCACCGAAGTCCGCTATCGATACCTTATCGCTCCGGTACCTCATCGGAACTATACCTGAGCAGGTTATCAAGTGCCCAAAAGAAATGTGAAACCAAAAGAAGAAGCAAAAAAAGAAAATCGAAACAAATGGTGGAAATCGAAACATTGTGTTCATAAAAAGGGAGTTTTAGAGAATTGGAGAGTGACAAAAGAGAAGGAACAAAATGAGCTTTTTTGTTGGGGAGAAGATCTGGACTCTGGATAGTGGTGCAAGGAGAAAACTACAAAGGGTAATGATTAATTTAATGAGTGAAGAAGGAGGAGTATTAAAGATGGGAAAAGGGTTTAGGGTAAGGAATCGAAAGAATGTGAAGAATGGAGAGTAGAATCAAGAGAGATAGCAGTCAAGAGAGACTGAAAGCGAGAAAGAAGAATGTTGTTGTAATTAACGAAATTGATGGAGTATCCGATGCATGGTTTCTGTTATAAAATGCTCCCTGCCCTTGTATTTTTGTCTCGATTGGATTTTAGGATGCCTCAGTTATTAAAATGATATTTATTTATTATTATGATTTGTTTTAGATTTTTAGATTAGGATCCGTAGTTACGTTTATGGATAATTTTTTATATCGTTCGAATTTGATATTTGATTTATCAGTGATTTTTAGTAGTTTTTATCTTTTTTTATATTTTGTTTGCCTATGCAATCAGATTTATTCGTATATATCTTTATTTGAGTATTTTAATTGAAATTTTAATCTTCCCCTTATATAGTGTTTGTATGATCTCAAGTGACTAATTTCTTGTGTTAATAGTTATAAAAAATATTTTAATTATGTATTTAGTTTAAAATTATAATTATAAACATCCACTATAATTTTGAATTTTTTCATTTAATAAAATTAACTGCTTATGTTAAAAAAATATTAAACGTCTAAATACATTTAATTTAATTTTAATATTTATTTATGTTAGATATATCTTAAAGTGAGTAATTGAAGTAATATAATATTAAGTATCAGTTAGTTTAACTAAATGACATGGTGAAATTTTTAAATAATATTTAAAATTTGAATGTTAATATAATAAATAAATAGTCACTCTTATATTGAATATGTGATATTCATATTTAAATTAACCAATGATTGAATATTCAAGGTCCAATAAAGATAAAGAAAGAGCTTGATTTATAAGCCATACACACTTGTATGGAAAAATAAATCACAATAAGTTGATTTAAGAGTCAATTGGTCATGTACGTTGAAATATATTAATAAATTTTAATTGTTTTAAAGATCATTTTTAATAATGTAATAATAATTTATTTTAAAATATAATATAATTAAATTATTTAGTTATTATTTATCATAAAACTTATGAGATAGTTTTAAATAAAAATATAATTAATATATGGTCAATATAAAAAAATTACGATACATAAATATTATCTTATTAAATTGATAATTTTTGTATGAAGATAATTATAAGTTCTCTTCACGATGTAATTTTTATATCGTTAAACTGTAATCTAAATTTACTAAAATCTCCTACATTAAATAAATTTAATTAATGAATACTATTTAATTAATACAATTACATTAAAATATCAAATTAAAAATTATAATAATAAGGATAAGGCATGTGATGGGCAGCACAAACTTCCACAAAGCCATCAATGTTTGGACTTGCATGTTTTTGTAGTGTTTTGAAAATCGGATCGGATCGGTCGATTTAATCGGGAATCGTTGTTTGATCCGGTCCATTCTATCCCGGTTGAATCGGTTCTAGTGAACCGCAACAAACTGTTTAAACCGGCTTTGAACCGCTTGAATCGGACCTGACCGTGAACTGGTTCAACCTAATTTTTTTATTTTTTATTAAATGTTTTTGGTATTTTTATTTAATTTTTTTAATAATTATGACGTCGTCCGATTCTTACGACCGGTATGACTGATTCGACCGGTTGAACCAATGAACCGATAGTATAATCGGTTCGCTAACCAGTCCGGTTTTGAAAACCATAATTTTTGTTGTTACCTACTTTTTATTTTTGATAAATCTTTGATAAATCATAACCTTCTTTATTTACTAATATTTTAGGGTGAGCTACTCATAGTCATTAAATTATAGGGTCAATTTTATTTTGATCATCAAATTAAAATAGTTCCAGTTTGGCCACTCAACTATTAAAATACTATCAATCAAGTCACCAACAATTGATAGAATTATTGATGCAACAATTAAATTTTTTTGTATAACTATACATTTAGTCCTTTTGTTGACATTAGTGATTTCGTTAACTATTAACGGTTGGTGAATTGATTGATAATATTTTAATAGTTGAATAGCTTGGTTGAACATTTTTTTAGTTTGGTGGTCGAAATAAAACCAATCTTATAACTTAATGACTATTTGAGTAGTTTATCCAATATTTTGTGTGGCCTCCACAGCTTTAACAATATATAAAATGGGCCAATAGATAACAAACGAGGATTTTGATGGTAGCGTTACTTTTACTTTTGGGAGATCCTCAATTTCTAGTGTTAGTTATTTGCCTAATGGTTCTCCACTCACTCAAATTCTATATAAAATCGAATCTGAACCTGATAAATTCATTTTTTTAGTACAATACTCTAAAAGTCATTAAATTATATTTAAATGATCATTTTAATCACAAATTTTACAAAAGATAAAATATTATTAAATTTAGCAAACTATTATAAAATAGCCATTACAATATTATAATAAGTAAAAATTTGATAAATATAATAGTTATTTTGTAACAGTTTAACTCACTCTAATAGTATTTTTTTATTAAAATGATATAATTATAAGATAATATATGTTTAAAGATTCTAAACCATTTGATAATAAACTCTCAAACAACTATGTTGACGTTGATGCTCAAACATGTAATCTCTAAGGAAACATCCATCCAATTGTGCTGTTTTTATATCTATAAGAATTGAATCTGAAATTTAAAAAACATTGAACTCCTAACCATTCAATTAAATAATCCGTGAAAGGATAATTTAATTTTCCCATGAAATACACCATTCGTCAATTTATTGGAGAACGGTCCCTTCAATTGGAGCCTGCCTTGCATTCAATGGTCCACCGTAACATTTCCCTCGGGGTGCCCACACCTTAATTACAACACACCTACATCAAGCATTATCTCTCTCCCGTTAGAGACATGCATGCATATACATTACAACTACCAAATTACCAACATGCATAAAATTAAATCTACCAGACCAAGCATCGAATGGGTCTTTCTACAACTGGAACAAGCAAAACTAAAGATATGAACATGAAGTGTGTCAATCCTGCCTAGATATTTACAAACAAATACCAATTCACCCCCCCCCCCATTATTCAACATAGAGAAACACCACAGAGAAATTTTTTATTCATTTCTTCATTTAGTAAATCCGTAGGCTGCGGATGAGTTTTAATTGTCAGCTACTATCAACACAATACACCTAAAGATCATTGTTCTAATCAAAAGAAGCAGGCAGCATAAAAAAATAAGGAAATAGAAGTTCACGCTGCTAGCAGGAAACCCCAAACTGCCTACCCAGCTTCTAATAACAAGAGTGTCTCACTTGACACCCACAACAATTACCTTGATGGTGCTAACGGGGACCCGTGTTTTTCACATTCTTTCGATCGGCTCGGTTTGATCCTGAACAGCCAAGAGCTCTGAAACATCAGCCAATGACTTGAGTTTGCACTTGATCAGTGCCTCGACAAAGTAGCATGTTTCATCCTTGGTGTTCCCTTCTGGTACATCCACTACAAATGACTCAATGACCAATGTTCCTGGTCTGCCATCAATGACCTCGGGATGCACTGTAACAATGGATGAGTAGTTCTGCCAGTTCATAAATAAGGAGAATTTTGCAGTTTCAGCAAGTTAGACTGTGACAAAAGTTTAGGACATAATGAAGTTCAAAATTTTGACCCCAAAAAGAGGTCAATGCAGAATTGGTACAATAGCATTCACGGAAATTCAAATATTAGAAATAAAAGGATACATGATAATATATCTCAGAACTAAAAACTAATACATCTTCAACAACATGATAAACAACACTGCTTTCCCACCATGTGCATAAACTAAAAAAATTCTATTATACCACATTCATTGGACCATTACAGGAAAAAATGCCAATAAACCAAATTGGAGCTCCAGATCAAATGCACCAGTAGCACAAGAAACAATAGTAATCGGATGGAGGATAAGGCCACATAAGGCATACAAATTGCCCCAGACACAATGCAGGAAAGAAGCTCATTCATGCCACTAACCAAATTCAGTAGACAGATTTCGCAAATAAAAATGTGTGATATATATCCTTCTAGTTTCAGAACTCCAAACACGACTTCTATAAACATAAAAAAGGATCCTATCTTAGCTCAATGACTGGCAACAGAAGCTAGCATATTCAGACATCAATTACCATATGCAAAACCTTGTTACATTTTCAGTTTCAGGTAATTTATGCATCCCATATGTTACGCATGTGCTGTTTAACTAATTCAAATAAATGGAGAACTCATACCTTCAACCTGTGGTCACCTCCAACAATCTTCATGCTCAAAATATGCTCATCGTCGTCTAGATACTCCAACCTTTCCTTGCTAGTTGTGGCAGGCAAACCTGATTTAACATTGACTTCTCTAACACTTCCAATCTGAAGATCACCCTGTAGAACACACTTACTAACAAATGGCTTATACTTCTGCGGTTGATCAAATCTCCTCACCAAAGACCAAACCTGATTGATCGAAAACCAATAATAACTCATTAACGAAGGAAACACACCAAATTTGCCTTCAAACAATGCAAACCAAAGTTATCAAAGGCTCAAGGCGCATCGAGGCGCAAAGTGTCCTGGAGCCTTGAGGCTGGAGCCTTGAGGCGCGAGGCGCATGAAAGGTGCATGATATCCAAAAAATTGTAATACATGTATATATTAATGCAATCAAACTCAAATATCATAGATACCCAATATTAGACTTCAATAGAGTTCATTCTCAAACTCAAAATACCAACCTAACGTCATAAAAGCTATCAACAAGCATAATCAAGTACTAAGTTTAACAAAAACATCCAACATGCATAAACAAAACATCAAATAAAGTCATTGATAATCATCATCAAACATTAAACTCATCCTCATCATCATTTTCAAGTAGTATGTCATCATCTTCCTCCTCATCCGTCTCACAATCCCCAATGTCTTCTTCTTCAGTGTCACTCTCCTCTAGCATAACAACTTCATCATCTTCATCTACAAGGTGTGATCTAGCTTTTTCCTTTCCTTTCGAGCTTGGAGAGGGCATCCTAGGACCACTGTCTATGTCTCTGTCCCTTCCATTCCATCATCCATTCTTTCATAAAGCCTTAAAGGCAGCCAACTCATTTAGTTTAGTCTCTCCCAATGTCACCAATTTTCTTCCAACATCCATTATAATCAACTTAAATAATTGAATGACTTTACAATAAATATTCTTCATTTTCATATTAGAGTATCCAATTTTTTATTTTTTGATAAAATTATTCTAATTTTATTGTTAAAATCAATGATGGACGCAAGTGTTATCTAAGATAAGCAGGTATTCATCTTGAAATTCAAATTATTTTATAATAATTATTTATTTCATTAATAATATTCACCCTAGAATTTTATTCAAGTTCATCCCAAATAATTATTAAAACCCCTAATACTTGATAAGTTTGGTACAGTAAAATTAGGGAAAATGGTATGGAGATGAGCACCAAACGGTAAAAAAAACTGTAGTAAAAAATGGTCAAAGGTGGAAGACATTCGTTACAAAAACATAGGCTTAAACTGAACTCAACAGAGTAAAGAAGAAGAAAAAATGTCGGATTCAGACTTCCGTTTTTTGTACCACTGAGATCTTCTCTCCTTTCCAAAGGATCCCACATGCCTTTGACCGAATCTCAGCCGTCCAAATTTACAAATTCCTTTTTCTCTTTAATATGTAATCTTTTAACTTTGTGTTATTTACAGGATTATATCCTAAGAGCACTAGATTTCAGGAACTACCCATTGTTTTGGATAAAGGGAGCATTCAAACTTGAGTAATTAAAAGTCAAAAACACCCTTCCACTTTTAATTGCTAGAATATATATATAGCATTAAAGCTTTTATTCCATTAAAATTAAGATAAATTCAACTAATTTAAGTTATATTTAGAATTTATTATAATTGGTGAAGGTTAAGATGGACAATTAGAAAATCCAAAACTAGGTATTGTATATCCGACAATGAAAAAATGGAAGCGAGATCATCTTCTTGAAGGTTTAAAGCTTATTACCTCTGAATAGTTTAGATAGGCATCTTCTCCTCTCCAACAGCACTTCCGCTCAGCCGCTTAGATCGGAGCCAATTTAGCCTTGCATGATTTCCTTTGATTCTTAACCTTTATTTTTTTTTGATAGAATTCTTAACATTTATTTCAATTTTTGCCTTTCCATCGTCCCAGTAAACAGAAAATTTGCCCAGAAACCCTTCGAGGAACCAAACATCACAATACGACTCCTTGCTCCCCATGTTGTTCATTGCATGTCTTGTCAAATTTCATATCTGAAAAAAGAAAAGAAACTGGGCTTTATTTGTTTTCTCTCCTTGCGTTGTTGTTAATGGGGAGCGTGAAGTCGGGGGTGGTGGCAAAGTTTGCGTTTTTCCCACCAGATCCACCAACATTGCGCCTCAATTGTGCCTCGACTGAGCCTCGCGCCTCGCTGCACCACGGTGCGCCTAGGCTACGCTCCTCGCTTCAGTGTTGAAAAGGCCCCCACTCAGTGAGCCTCTGCCTCAGGAGGCGCGCTTTTTACAACTATGATGCAAACTAAAACCGGAAACTAACTACAAAGTAATTTTATTAGTGACTGCAAAACATTTAGATTGGGTAAGTTATCATTTCCATACTTGAGTGAAGCGAAAAATTAACGAAAATCTTCTGATCCATATCCATTCAAACATAGCAAAAACTTCGAAATTCACCATACAAGAAAACAACAATTTTAGAGAGTAGATTCTACTAATAAATCCCCAATCAAAGTTCGTGTTTAAATGCGTAAACGTAGATTGTCCACGACTTCAATTGATTCACAAAAAATTTCCAGTGATAACTTCATTTTCTAATCAACCCCTACTTAATTTCAATCTCCTGTATGTTCACTCAACATGCAATGAAAAATAAAGGAAAATCAACGGACTACGCAAAAAAAAGCTCCTACCATCTAGATCTATGTACGGATCTAACACGAAACAAGAATCCAATCGATTCTATCAAAAGAAACAAATATTACCCAAACGATATAAAAGAAAAACAAACATTCAAGATGAACCGGAGCTTTGACGTGTTTAACGAGCGAGGAACTGCACTGATTTTCTTTAACGTCGTGTTTATGGAGCTTCTGGATGAACTTTTCTTCTATCTTACTAAACGCGTTCCCGTTCATGGCGATATAATCATTGGTCACCATGCAGAACCCTAGCCCGGGGAAAAAGAGCGGCGGAGGAAACAAAAGCTGACGGTGGGAAAGAGGGGGAGGATTTAGCGGGTTCGGGTAATGTTATAGGAGACTCCCGGAAAGATCCGAAACGAAACGACGTCGGTCAGGTCCAGTAGCGGAAGGTCCAGTTTGCTGGTATTGTTGTTTATCCGTACTCTTTCTTAATGGTGATTACCGCGACTGGGGTTTTGGAATTTGCCGCAGGCTGAATTTAGATAAGGTTAAAAGGATTTTGGACGGACGTGGCTAAAGTCAAAACGGCTGCGTTCTTAGAGACTTTTTTGCTTTGCTTTGGGTCTTCGAATTATTGGGCCGATTCTTTAGCCCAGAATTTGAGATATGAGGATTGAAATTAAATTCGAGTTTTAATTTGAAGTTAGAGTTTAAAATGTTTGAAATTATTTAATTTAATTTAATTTGGTTTAAATTATATTTGTGTTAAAGATAGTGTGTATTTTATACTCAAATTTAAATTTTATGTTTTATTCGAATACAGTTTTTTACTAAAATCAATTAATTGTGTTAAAGAAATAAATTAATTTTGTGCTTTATTCGAATTTAACTATCAATAATTTTCTTTAAAAAGTTATCATTAAATTGAATTTATTAAGTGATCTCAGTGTGTTATTTCTTAAAAATCTGAGATTCGAAGTCATTATTAATTGTTTGAGGGAATTTTAAACATACTTGAACTAATAAAAAATTATCGCCAACTTGAGAGTAGGTGTATGAACAACCATCATTCGAGCAAATCTAATTATAGGTAATCAAAACAAAAACTTAATATTAAATATATGTATTTTTTAAAATGTAGTTAAAATTTAGGGTAAACTACACAGGAGACCACCAAACTATGGTCATTAATCAATCTTGCCACCGAATTATTTTTTGTCTCAATTCGACCATCAAACTTTTTAATTGATTCAATGAGACCACTTTCCGTTAAAAAAATAACGGCACGTCCGACGTGGCTGCTCAATAAGCGTATTGTTTCTAGGTTGGACATGCACCACGCCACGTCAATTAAAACATAAGAAAAATAAATAAACAAATGGCACTCAAAGAGTAAAGGAAGAAGAAGAGATAATTTCAAGCACATATCTCCATCTTCTCCACAACTTTTTCTCCTTATATTTCAAGCCCCAATCGGCGTTTCAGCCCCAAAACTAGAGGACTTTTCTGGGTGGTGCAACAATGGATACACATCAATATAGAAACCACGAAAGAAAGACAATGTCTCTAAGTTTAGACAATAACGTGTACTACCACCAAAAGGGAGATGGCGTCGGAACTGGAAGAGGAAAACATGGTGAAGAGAGGGCGAGAGAGCCTAATTACGCCATAGGGGAATTCGAAGTGAGCGGTGGGCTTGGACAACAAATCAGAGGTTCTTCAATGGAGTCTCAGGGCTTCAAACACGAGAAGATCGGTGGAAATAGACAAGAGAGATGTGCTTCAACGGAGTCCAAGGCCAAACGTGAGCAGAGTGCAGATGCTTCAATGAAGTCTATGGGCAAACGTGAGAGCGATAAAGAGACAAGGCATAGCATGGAAACGGCCGACGAACTGAGGAACATCGATAAAGAAGAGGGTGGCGAGAAACGATAACATCTATCTTTAGAAGATATATATAAGCTAAGAGGAACAGCTCAGCAGAATTCGATGGAGACTTTACGAGCTGCCGAAGAACGGTATAACAAGGCAAAGGAATTGGCCGCCCAAGCGCTTAACATCGTAGCCGAGTATACCAAAGATAAGGGTTAACAAGCAAGGGAAACCGCTCGTCAAAGCGCTCAGTATGCGGCGGAAAAGGGTGGACAAACGACGAATACTGTTCGTCGAGCTGCTCAGCAGGCGACGGAGATGGATGAACAAACGAAGATTGCGACACATTACACCACCGAGGAAGCAGTGGAAGGAACAAAGGTATCGGCGAGGATGGTGGAAGGTGGAAGGAGCCTAATGGGTTGTGTGAAAAAAACCCATGTGTCTTCTCAGGTGGCATTAATAATAATATAAAACCATCGTCGTTAGTTTAAAACAGCCACATCGGACGTGCCGTTATTTTTTTAACGAAAAGTGATCTGATTGAATCAATTAAAAAGTTTGATGGTCGAATTGAGATAAAAAATAATTCGGTGGTAAGATTGATTAATGACCATAGTTTGGTGGTCTCCCGTGTAGTTTACCCTAAAATTTATAAGATAAAATAAAAGCATTATAATAAACAGGTGACTAAATAACTAGTTTATCAAATAAAATAAAACATGTAGCCATTTACTCTTTCAAATGTAGCAGCTATATATGCTGAAACAAATTTCATTACAGAAAACATGAGTGTAAATGTTGTAATCTTAATTAGCAAGAAAATCCCATAACAAGTCAGCATCAAAAGACGGCATTTTAGCGAGCAAATCATCCTCGAGTCGTGGTTCATCTACCTTCATCGTCGGATAATCGTTCGAAACAAAGGCCGGTGAATTCTCATCTCTCCGAAACCCACCGTCCGACACCAACCCGTTGCTTAAACCGTCGCTAAAAGGCGACAACGACGAACACGCGGCACGATCGTCGAAGGTACCCTTCTTGGCTTTCTTCTTAGCTCTTTCCGTTTTCATCTTCTGACGAATGGATTCAATCTTAGCATCCACTGCGTTCCTCAAATCATTCAACTGAGAAAAATCTACGAACCCAAACTTGATTGGATCATTTAGATTCTGGAAATTCAACCTTGCGTATTCCCCTCTAAGCCTATAAGCTGCTCGGCCATATGCCAAAGCGGCGGTTTCGGCTGTTTCGTAAGTGCCTAGCCACACTCGTTTTCTTTTCCGTGGGAGTCTGATTTCCGCCACCCATTTGCCCCACTGTCTCTGCCGTTCGCCTCTGTAAAGCTTCTTCTTTTGAGGACTCGAGTATTGGTTCGTTGATTCATGGTTTTGGTGGCAGAATCTTTGATGGTTATCTCTCTGGCGGTGATAGACTGAAGAGCCTAATGGCTCGTTAACAGAGTTGGCGGCGGCGGAGATGGCCAGTGACGGGGCACAAATAGAGAAGATTGAATCTATGGTGTTTGAACCTCCTGATAATATGAGCTCTGATAGGAAAGACCCAATATTTGTACCATTGTTGAATCCACAAACATGGTTGGTTTCTTGCATAATTGATCCGGAAAAAAATATGAAAAATCCAGAATTTGGGAGATTGAAAACGAAGAAACGGAATAATAAGAACTTGTTTGAGAGTCTTCAAAGGGAAGACTGCTGGAATTAGTATGGCACGAAGAGTATCAGTCTGGTTCCAGCTTCGCGTATATATAGCTGCAGGGCAAAGCAAACCTTAAGTAAGTTTTGGGTAAATATAACTGTTGGTACTTAGTTATTCCATTTCTCATTTTGTTAACGTTTCATTAGCTCTAATATTTAAAATTTATGGATTAATTTAAATCTTCTAGAAGGTCACATATTTAATTTTTCATGACTTTCAAAAATTAGTAGAATTAACGACATAACGACATATTAATATAATCAAAATGGATTGATACTGATAATTTGGGGATGAATATAGATTTTTTTTAATTTATGGACTGATTTAAAATGAAAGTAATTGTTTAGGAACTGATACATAACATTTTAAAATTTATGAACAAATTTAGAATGATGGTCAACTAAGCAATTGTTCTAAAATTTTGCAAGCTCAAAGTTTATAATTAAACTACCCATAAATATTGCATACAAACACTATTTTTTTTTATTAAGCTAAGGTGATTACAAAGTAGTATTTATTCTAAATACTCTCAATTATTTAACAATGAATGTTCAATCACCCTATTGTAGTTGCTGATGCTTGCACCCGAGACCTTTAAAAATAACAACTATTCATTTAATCAGTGAGATAATTTGATTAGGGCAATACCAATTTTAAATGTATTTAAGATATAACAATCAAGTCATGGTTCAACTAAATTTAAAAGTGTAAACCGTATTAACTGAATATATGAATTCTGAGTGGTAAAAATAAAATTGCAACCAAATATACAAAAGGCTTGGTTTTGCTCTCTGTTTTGAAAATCGGATCAGATCGGCCGGTTCAATCGGGAACCGTTGTTTAGTCCAGTTCAATCTAAACCGGTTGAACCACTATTAGTGAACCGACCAAAACCGCTGAACCGTTCAAATCGAACCGGCTGAAAACTGGAAAAAACTAGAAAAAATCGAGATTTTTGTTTTTGTTTTTTTTTAAAAATAAACCAAGCAACGCCGTTTGTTAAACGAGCCAAGTCGAACTCGAGTATTGCTGAGCTCGACTCGAACTTGAAAACTTTAAAAGTAAGCTCAACTCAACTCAAACTCACAAGCTAAAAATTATCAAATTCAACTCAAACTCGAAATATAATATTGAAACTTGAACTCAAAAAGGCTTGAACTCAAAAAAAAATTAGAAGCTCGATTGAAGCCTAAAATTCGAGCTTGATTGAAGTGAAAGAATAGTTTACTCAATGCTCACCAAAAGGCTCCATGATTTTGAATGCCAAATTACCTCTATTATTTATAGAAGTTAGTTGTGATGCGCTTCTATGTTTCTTAGCAATGTGAGATTGTTTTGTTCTCATATTTTTACTCTTTAGATTTTTGGGATGCTCTTCTATGTTTCTTAGCCATGTGAGATTGTTTTTAAAAAAAATTAAACCAAACAATATCATTTTGTTATGATTTTTTAACCCCAAATTTATTTTTTAATTATAGTTATATAATTATATTTATTATTTAATATGTTTTACCTTAAATATTATGTTGTAATTAATTTGAATCATTTTGTTTCACTTGATTTTATGGTTTTTAACTTATATATGTTATGATTTGCTTTGAATATGACTTGTGATATAAAAAATTATTTTTTATTAAATATTTTTGGTATTTTTATTTAATTTTTTAAATAATTTTGACATCGTCCGGTTCTTTCGACCGATCGAACCGATTTGACCGATTGAACCAGTGAACTGATAGCATGACAGATTCGTTAACCCGTCCGGTTCTGAAAACCATGGTTTTGCTTTGCATGTGAAACAAACCAAATTGTCGGTTCAAAAGTCAACGGTCCTTTGACTTTTGTATTACGTTAAACGAACTTTTTCAATTTACTAATACTATAGGGGTAGTTCTGCTGTAGTTTTGTACGGCAGTTTAATTTAAGGTGTTATAAAAAATATTAATATTATTTTAAAATTTTTGGTAGAGTATTACTTAAAATGTTATTTTTTATATCGGAAATGTTAATTTCTCTATCTAAAATAAATATTTTCAGTATTAATATTTTCGGTAGAAAAAAATAACATTTTAGGTAGCGCCCAATATTCATATTTTCGGTAGAAAAATAATATTTTAAGTAACGCTTTACTAGAAATATTAAAACAACATTAATATTTACAATAAAAAAATAATATTTTAAATAACGTTTTATCAGAAATTATCAGAAATATTAAAACAATATTAATATTTCCGGTAGCACCTTATATTAACCTTATATTAGTACATAGACATCCCATACTAGAGTCCTATTGATTATCAAATTTACGAGATAAGAAAAAAAAAATAAGTCAATGGCCACCAAGCAATTAATTTCACCATCACTTTTTTGGTTGAAATAAGTCGTTAATTAAACTTCATATTCATACGCCAAATCTTAAGGAAAAATATTAATGCAAAGCATGCATATGTAGGTGTTATGGAGTCATTAGTTAAGCGGTCTTTAAATTTCATGATATTTAATTCTTTTTATTTTAAAATACGAGATAAATTTACACGAATCAAATTATTTTAATGATAAAAAAGATAATTACTATCTCTATAGGTGTTCAAGCCTTAGAAACTGTAAAAGTATCTAAACTTCCATTATCAAAAATCTTCATAACATATACTACTCGTAGACACTTTAAATTAAAAAAAAACGTGAGATAAACTTAATATAAGTAACTAATATTCTCTTTAAAAACGAGGCGTAAAATAAGTTGAATGATCACGCTAGTATAAATAATCATGAGATTATTAACCTCTTTTTAAATAATATGTTTGATAGGTATGTAGTACTCCACTTTGATAATATATATTGATAGGAGGCTTACAGGTTTGTTTGTCTCCTAAAATATATTTCTTCTATGAAAAATTATTAGACGAATACAGTTTAACACGTCATTCGTGGTCTCAACCAATAATATTTATCTATTTTATTTTTTAAAATGAATCTTCACTTCTGTCCTACATGTAAATAAAGAGTGAGAAATTATTTAAAAGTTATTTTAAAATCGGTAGATCTCATTCATTAGAACGTCCAATTAATATTATAGTTATGAAAATGAATGTATCTCCTCCAATTAATATTGTCTGTCCATCATCATTTCACAGGTATTTTTGCAATTGCTCCAACACCACACAACATTTTGGGGCTAACAATGGTCGGCCATTTTGATTTAATGGAGCTCCTCTTTTGTCAACTCTTTATTTTTTTGGTATTTGCTTAACTTGTGCTTCATTAATTATAAAAAGGATTATAATAATGAATTTGAACTCTAAATCAATTGATTGGTTTAACCTAAACAATAAACAATAAAAAAATTATACGACGTTCATCGAGCGTGGGTGAGCATCGTTAACGATGAACACAATTAAATTAATTTATAAAACATTAAATTATAAAATACTAAACATATGATTATAAATTAGTTAAAAATCTAAATGTAATTTAATTAAAATACAATATTTATAAAACATTAGTTGTTAAGGTAAAATATATCATTGACCACTTAACTATTTATCCCTTTTATTTTAACCATTGATTTTTCAATTTTGCCAATCAGGTCACCTAACTATTTAAATCTTGTCAATCAAGTCACATGCTATTAAATATTAACGGAGGAGATTACATGACAGTTAATAAAAATTTGTATAATTACACATTTAGTCCTCATTACTTACACATTCTATTAATTTGGTCATAACTTTTAATTAATTCAATAAATTTAATCCTCAATTAGATGGTGACATGTGTCACTATGTGATTGGATGTTTTTTCTTAATATTTTTATTTAATTTAATAAAGTTTTCATTCAAAGCAGCCCAGCGTTCGAGTGCTTGCTTATTCGGGTTAACAACAGCAACAAGGAAGGACTCAAAGCTGTTCCCATAAACCCATATCTGATATTGGTAAAGATGAAATGTAAAAGGATGTCAAATTCGAGCAGACAAAACAAGTCTAAAATCAACAACAGCTAAAAGGCATACCGAATCAACAACAGATGCGGAACCGTAAATATTTTCAAGGTTCTCAACAGAAACGTATTCCCCTTGCGAAAGCTTAAAAATGTTCTTCTTTCGATCGATAACTTTCATGCTTCCATTCGGTTGCCACTCACCGATATCCCCTGATGCACAAAGATGAAAGGTCATCAACTTGGAGATAAGCTAATGAATTCGGAGAGAACCTCAACTTAAGAAGAGACAAGTATGAGCAGACCTGTGTGGAACCAGCCATCAACCAAGACCTCATTCGTGAGATCTTCACGTTTGTAGTACCCTGAGAACAGCGTTTTTCCCCCGAGACAAATTTCACCTCGTGGTGTGCTTGCGAGGGCATCATATCCCATTTCAGGTACATATTCTAGACGGACATCTATATTTGGTACCGGAGGCCCCACAGTACCAAGCATCGACAACTCATTCGGTAACGAGACAAAAGTTCCCGCACAGGTCTCCGTCAGGCCTACATTCAGATCCGTATAAAATAGGTAAATGTTCATGAGGCTGCAAGAATGCACACAATCAGTAAATAAGAAAGAATTATCAGATCTAAAGAGGCTTAACAGACAGTATACCATATCCTTGCATAATATGACAACATGCCACCACTCGTAGGAACTCCTCCACATGAGCAGAAAGAGGTGCTGCTCCGGATAGAATAATCCGCAAATTCCCTCCTAAACTTTCTTTTACCTGACAAAATTATGAACATGAATGAATAAGTAAAAAAATGATTTCTGCTGCAGTTAGTGCCGATCAGTATTGGCTTTCAACTGATATACGCAAGGAGGCTCGTACTATTTTTATACAACAAATAAGATTTTCATCACCTGTCTAAATACAATTTTGTCAGAAAAAGGAGACGCATCTCCATGTTTGGAGCCATTCCTCATATTA